ACCCATGCCATCACATGCTACATCCTACAAGCAGCTGCAGCTGTACTTACTCCTGGCTGGTACTCTACGCAATCTACGGCGTCAGGCGCTTGGGGTCGCGAGGGAACCTTGCGTCCATCTTTCCGAGTTGGCGTTCTTGGTCTCCATCAATGTCTCTGACTTCCACGGTTGCTTAAGGCTTAGGTTGACCTTGAAGCTGCAGAGCCATCAATGCCCCCCATCATCTGCCATTCTGAAAAGGAGTGAGGAACACAACTGTTGAAAGTTGCAACGTGAAAGGGCAGGGCAGAACTCTACACAGGAGACTGCCAGGGGCAGGGCATGGAGACCTTCCGGATGTTGTTCAGGTTCAAGAATAGCCTGGCTCGTGAAACATGCAGTGCGACGGTACAACATTCATGCAAGTGTTCTGAAGGGGCGCAGCTTCGGTCTGAGGCATACCAAAGACTATGCGAGACCGGCTAAGGCTTGCTGACAATAGCCTGGTACTCGCCAGTAATTACAGGCCGGAACTGCATCAGGACACGTTCCATGCCAATGCCGGCACCAGCGTGTGGATACGAGCCGTACTTGAAAGCATCAATGTAAGACCTGACAGGGATTACGCGGCAGCTTGGCAAGTGCAACGGTTTTCGGAGAAGATCATTTGGAGCTAGCTCGGCACTTAGTAATGCAGATTTCTGCAAAAGATGCTCGAAGAAGAGGGTCACGTTCGGGCCTACGTTCAAACAATGCTAGCGGTCGGCATGTGCAGACCTTGAAGAACTTAGGGCCATGCTGGATGGAGGCTGGAGGCACCTGGAATGTTGATCCACTCATGGTCAGTGTCGGTGCACGCAAACTTTCATGCTCGGACTTAGAGGCGCTGCAGCGCTCCAAAAGGAGTCAAGAGGAAAGAGCGTGCCGCGGGACACCCAATGACGAAAAACAACCACAAGACTTAAATCCTTCCTGGGGGATGAGGATGTCTCGCTGCTCAGTTTCACAGATGCGGCGCTGAGGCCCCATGAAAACTTGCGAAGTCTTCTTCACAGGTGGGGGGGAGCAGGCAAAACTGCAACAGAAGTGTTATAAAGGCTTATAAGGCTCCGGCGCCCCAGGCTTCTGCTTTCTTGGTGAGCATCTTCGGATCATGGATCCGTTGCGCCTCCGCTGAGCACATGCAAACTTTGGAGTTCAACCCGCAATCAAATCATATCAATCTCTTAAAGCATGTCACATACTCTGCATCATTCGCATGATGCTGTTCATGATGTGACATGTCAAGCGTGGATACGGTTTTTGCCAGCCTCACCTGCCTGACTTACAGCAAACATGAATACCGCCCTCTTTCTGTTTGAGCACGGGCCGACCTCTCTAAGACTGTGCAAAGGCTGATCTAAGTCAGACATCAAGCCTATGAATCTGGCAGAATTGGAGCCGGACTCCCGAGGTGATCTCCTCACCACGCAGAAAGACCTCGGAATCACAGCCCGGCGCTAGCCGCTAGACCAGGCTCTCTATCCGTCGAGAGCATTTGAGCAGCGGGCGTCGTAGGCGTTGGTCCACTTGTCGTCGTGAGGATCCGGCATCGTGTAGAAGGGCCGCACCTCCTTGCCAAGGGTTCTGCAAGTCTTTGGAAAGCCGAGTCCGAGCGTCCGAGCAAACCTTGATCTAAATAACTATAGTACCTAGAAGAATTGCAAGCTCAAGCTTAGCAGAGCGCTGCGTGATCTTTAGGGCAGATCCTGAAGTGGAACCCAATTCCTTAAGCCCAGCAGTGTCCTTGGGAAACTTGTCGATGATATACAACTCCTCACCGTGTGTCTTTCGGATGATGGCCCCAAGCAACTGGCAGGCGGAGGCTCACAAGAGGTTCGCAACACGCGTTCGAGAAGCACGAATCCTGGGATCGAGGGTGATTAGGAACGTACAGAGCATCCTCGCGAAGCTTTCTGATCGCATGCTCTGCCAATTCGAGGGTTGCGAAGCTCTGGGCACATATGTATAAATACACACATGCATTTCGGCATTGTGAACCTACGGACTTAGAACCTGTACATACACCGGCAGACTTCCTTCAAGAGCAAATCACCTACCAACACACCTCGACAAGAAGGCCCGCAGAAAGCATAGGTTACGCAACGGTCTCGCGAAGTCTAAGCTTTATTTGCAAAGCCAACGTGGGACCTTCGGATCACATCCAGAAAATCAAGGGCATTTACAGGGGGGCCGACCTTGATAGCATGTCCTTGCTGGAACGCTCGCATGAAGCCGGCTGTGCCGAAAGACTGTTTCTACAGCATCCGTTCTCTAATGGTGATAAATACCTTCAAAGGGGGCAGGACTAAGCAAAGGCTATGGCTATGGGCCAAAGGGCAAGAGAAGCTCTTCCGAATACTTCGCTGAATCGCTGTTGCGCCTTCTCGTCCTCCGTGCTGATGTCCTTCATGACTTGACGCGCTCCAACCCTGAGACCTTCTCCTAAACTTGAGGCTCGTCTCTGATTCATGCGATAGACGAAGTATGGCCCGGAAGTCTGCGGGGTTCTTTTGTCCAGAAACGTGTTTTCAATTCATTTCTTATGCTTCGTCAGAAAGACACGCACTGCATCGCAAACGGGGACAAGGTTAACAGCAAGGCCAGCAAGATCTGGCAAGAGCAACACTCCAACAACAAGCAACCTTGGTGCATGGTCGATGGTCCTCGTTTTCTTCGTGAGCCTTCACTGACCTTCGTGCAGGAGCGTTGCCTGTCTATGTGCCCCACAATGGGCACTTTCTACCGCAGCTACGACACTACAGCGCACGATGCAGCTGCGCATTTCCCATGAAAATGTGGGACGTAAACACACAAACCCCCAACACCCGACGAGTGTAGAACTTCGAAGAAGTCAATCGAGAGACATGCCGAGGAAGTCACTCCAAATGCTTTGCCAGAATCTTCCGCTCATAGTCGCTCTCGGCTGCCTGCTCGCATCGATCCACCAAGTCGCGAGTTCAACTTGATGCCGATGCTGTAGCATGGCAAGACGTAGAAAGTTACATCGTTACATCATGATACAATGATACCCAAGAGTATGACACTGCCCTTCAGGTGATACTAACCTTTGCAGGGACGAAGCGCGCCGCCTTCCACACAGTTTGTTAGGCTCCGCCTTCAAAGGGGCTTTGCGAGTGTCTGGGTCTGCTCTGGGAGAGTCCTTCGTCCACGTCTGGGACGGTCTGCTTGTGTTCAAAAGACGGCAGGCGCTTTATCTCAAAGGCTTCGGGATGTCTTCTGCGCTTGATGCCTTGACACGGGCCCATGCCCACTTCATTCTACAGATGCTTAAGGCCTGCAGCCTTTCTAGAAGACATCTCGGTGCCTTCGAGTGGGTGCTGTACATGCTCGAACCACTCAAATACAGCCTCACGTCCCGCACCCAACCACGCGACAGTCAGTGTTTGTGCCTACTAGGCAGGGGTCGCCTCATCACACCCTGGGTGAGCTATCACAAGAACCCCTTGCCTGGCCCCATACTGATCTCCACATGTTCATCCAGGGCTCCCAATCAAAGAGGTTATAAGGGGCTCAAGGTGCAAGCCTTTCTTTGGCCCAGCTCATCTATCCCCTTGATTCCTTATTCAGATGTCGCTGATGACGGTGATGGGTCATCTGTTGCTCAAATACGTTTGTGCACAATCTGGCTGGGGGTCAGGTGACTGTGGACTCAGAAACTAAACATGTCAAAACTCTAGCCGCCTACCGAAGCCAGTGGGGCAAAGGATTCTCGAGGCCAAGATTTTTTTGCTTCGTGCAATGCACCTGCACTTCAAGTTCCAACATGGTGGGCCTCGCCCCACTGGTTCATACCCGGCGGTGCCCAAGCTGTTCTTGAAAGTCACAATCTGCAAAGATCCCTTGCCGACATGGCGATCGCTCCCAGCAGGCTTTGGCGATTAGTGCCACAAGAGAAAGGAATCTTGTGAATGGTTGAGGTGCAGCATTTAGCTAGATGAAGTTCTCCCAGAATGTGGTGATCAACCAATGGAAGCAGCGTCCAATGTCGGCGGGCTCTTGGTGTGTTTTTCCCCGAAACAGTGACGTCCACCTCAGAGTTATAGCCCTTCAATTACGATCCCTGGCGGCTGAAGTAACTTTTTGTGTTAAGAAAGAAGTCGGCTTCCGACCAGTGCTCAGAAAACTGCAGGGGATGGAGCCCTAACCAAGAGACTGCAGGGCCTTGACCCGAGACTGCAAGGGGTTTGAGAGAGCTTACCGAATCCTGCGGTCCTGTGCATGCTTACATCACTTGTGTTGCGAAACCGTGAGCGCCAAGGATGCATTTCAAAAAGTCTCTTGGATGGGTCCGTTTTTCGTGACCGCTCGCTCGCTAATCTCAGAAAGTTTCAAGCAGTTATTGAAAGAACACTGGTCTTTCTGCGTTCTCGCCTCAGTCCCGTGCGCGACAGAACTGTCGTCGCCTTTTGGGCCCGTGGAGTTCTCTTTATTGGAGTGCCCCTCTTATTGGGGTCTTGGCATCTGAAGTGGTCTTGCACTGTTTGGGGGTCTACGCCGGCATAATGTAATAAAAAAGAATGGCTGCACACCCGCTGCCTCAGGCTCTCGGAAGATGTTGTGTCGACAAGCATGGGAATGGCTATACTGAAAACACGCGTTGTTCATGTGCTTTGGGGAGCAGGAGTCTGCTGCCCAGATGTGCCAAGTAGAGTAAGTAGAGCTTTGGCAGCAGGGTGCAGCTTGGGCCCATGGGATCGCAAGGCGCAATGTCTCCGAAACCCACATCAACCCCTGGAAGTGAAGGCCGTGAACAATGTTAGAGGTGTTGGGGGAGTCTACAGGCGACTTCTTGAGCCAGTCTGTTGCAGATAGCCAAGCAAGAAGTCCGCACCTTCGCCCTAAACGGCCTAAACGTGAACGCGTGACAAAGCTCAGTAGAGTTACGTGCTAGCGCGACTCGCTGGAAACCCTGAGCCCAACTCGGCTTAATGCCAGTGCGGTCCACACCGCACAGCTGCTCACAGCTTGGAGAGGCCTTGCAACTGATCTTTCACGGCACGCCGGGCCTCGTGCAAAGTGTACCTTGGCTCAGGGTTTTTCAGCTCGGCGCATCGTGCTCAGCATGCAGGATGAGCCTTTACCGGGGGAGCCCTAACCCCCTGCCTTGTTCTGCATTGATACAGTGCGAGCGTGAGAAAACGTCCGAGAGCCAAGCTCTCACACAACACGACGCTGGAGACCCGACAGTATGAGATGCAAAACACGAGGCGTGACATGAGACATGACATGAGGCACGAGAGGAGAGACATGACACGAAATGCTAAAGGTCGCCCGGCAAGCTTTTCCACATCACTTGACGAATCATTACTGAGACGTTTTCCGTCACGAGTCACTTTAGCCAACACATTGTGTCGGGTAACTCTGCTTTTGGATGTCACCACTCTCATTGTGGGGTTCAGGGCTGCATGCCACCGCAAACACTACTTGGAGGGTCGGCTGGGTTATTAACTGGTTAGGGTATTTACACTTCTTAGTAAGTCAGTTATTAACTAGGATAACCTGACTTAGTAAGTCATGTAAACCTCATAAGTGGACTTACTATCTGGTGTAACTAGAAACATGACATAGTACGCGGTTACGGTTCAATGGTTAAGTATCATAAGTAGTTACACGAGAAACTAAGTCCACTTACACGAGATACTAAGTCCACTTATGAGGTTTACATGACTTACTAAGTCGGGTTATCCTAGTTAGTAATTGACTTACTAAGTAGTGTAAATACCCTAACCAGTTAGTAACCCAGCCGACCCTACAAGTAATCTGTTCCAACGTGGAATCCTTACTTGTGATGCTGGGGGTGTTGCACGTCTATTGCACTCTGACGTGATGGGCGCAAGAACCTTCAACTCCCTCCCCCCCCTCTCCCCTTGCACCTTTGCACCGTACAATTCAAGGCTTGAAGACCCGGGGCTTGTGCCGTACGTTCTGTCCACTCCCATGCTCGGCATGATTGTGCGGGATTGGGGCTTGCGGCTCACAGTGCTGGATCTGCAAGTTAACGCAGCAAGACTTTTGCCTGGCGACTCGGTGTATCCGTTGGGCGCCTTCTTTCCCTCCAGCACCAACTTCATGGCCGCCTTGCATGCTGCATTTGTTAGCCATCTGCATGACATAAGGGCCTTGTATGAAGCAGCCATCCAGCAAAAAAACTCAATACCCTAAGTAAGCGGCGACGGGGCCACAACCGGAAGACGAGGCCTCAGTATTTCAATAAACTCCGGCCTGGAAGGCGGGGCTGTTCTCGGGATTCACGGACATTGGGATGTATCCGGGTTCGCGTGCGTTCTGCTGATCGACCAGCTTGGCCATCTCCTGAGCACAGGAGGCTGAATATTATTCAGAACTTTGAGGCCTTAGCCGCCCTGACAAAACAACCTGAACGAGGGTCTTCGAGCATCTGGGAATTCACTCTTCGCGGCATGCCAGGAACATTGGGCCAGTGAGGGCGTGCAGAACTCCACTCCCGGCAATGTGGCTACAACCGTACTCGCCACTCAGCTCACAGCTGACGTACTCACGGGTTTTTGGAAGCCAGAGCAACACACCGCAACGCACCCACAACTTAAAGTTGCAAGAGCGCGAGATCGAACTCGGACACCGGTCATGTTCAGGGATTGCATTTTGGGTCTCTACAGGGTTGCTTGGCAATCCGCTGTTTTGCTTGGCAATGCGGCATTCTCGGGCTGTAGGGTTGACCTTCAGGTTGGAAAGCAAAACCTCCGTGTTTCGCAATTTCGCAAACCCCAATTGCAGCGAAGGGCGAGGAAGACATCGCGCACCTGGTCTTCCGAGATGAGATCGTGATGCAACCTCGATGGCGATCTGCAGAAAGGCAACATGCATTTACTGACAGAGACAACAAACCCTGGCGCAGATGCGTGGATGAAGCTGCGACAATTGCCAAGGAACCAGTTGGCCAACAACTGGGATGAGATACGCAACGTGGCCCGGTCTTCCATGAGGCCCACCTGAATGTGAACCCAAAACGCACCGAAGGTCTCTAATGTGAGCGTGTGAGAGCACGCTCTGAAGGAATGCAAACGCAGAGAGGAAGCAAGAAAACGACAGACAGACAGAGAGCGAGAGAGAGAGCGCGAAAGAGAAAGAAAACAAGGAAATGGGAGGAGCGGGGGCGGGGCAACACCTTCATCCCTATAAGGCCTGAAGAGCCCGCTGAGGACCCTCGGCAAAGATTAGACCATCATGCACGCTCTTGGCTCCCTATGAGGTTCCGTCGGAATTATTCTGCAGAGCGTGGTGCTGGTGGCGTGGTGTTCTGTGGCCCTGAAGCCTAAAGTACAGCAACTTGTGTGCGCGAATTTACACAAACAAATATAATCCATCCCCGAATATGAAACGCCCCCCCACCCCCTCCCCAATAGAAACTCGAAATGTGTGTTTATAATTAGGGGGAGGATTTTCTCGAAATGTCATAATTAATGAGACTTCAGGGTTACTCAAGTAATCAATTACTTAAGTGTGGTGTAAACATCGTGCTGCGAAAAGACTGGACTCTAAACCCTACACCACCCAGGACGCAGGTGTCGAACATAGCAAGTCGCCTCTTGAGTGAGAGTCATACAGTAGTTAGAGAAATAATTCGGATGCCAGATACACAGAAAACGGATGCCGGATTGGTCAAAGAAAGTTCTTTCCAAACGTGGCAACCCACATTTTCCAGCTTAGTTGGACCACGGCCTTGAGCACAACCCGCCAGAACACCTGCTGAACGCGCGCGCTTAACCCTAAGCCCTAAATCCTTAACCCTAGACCCCAAACGCTAAACCCTCTGAGGGTTTTATGGTGTTGAGGGGTTTATTGGAGGCCTGAACCCCCCCCCCCCCCCCCCAATTCGGAATAGTGTTTAAAAGGGTTTCGGCAGGATTTTCCGGAAAGCGTTTATATTATTAGGGTGGTCTTTAGTAAAAGGGGGAAGTGATTTGCATGGTGGGTGATAGCCGATAGCCCATATCAGAAAACAAGCTCGTCAATGGTAGCACCACAACCTCTCTGACTGCTATGTTTTTGTAGCCACCAGAGCAAAACTTGTTCTTTCACAGACACATGACTGATCGACTGATCTACCGACACATCTTGCTCTGAGGTCATGAGAAGCAAAGGCAAGTTTTGAACTACTTGCAGCAGCCTGAAATCAGGAAACTCTGCACGAATCGTGCTACACATCTTCTGTTTGCAGTTTGGAAGCGTGCGAGTAGGCCCTGCAGGAATATATCACATGACCATGTCTCTGCTGTTTCCACGAGTCGTGAGCGAGCTCGTGCCCTCTCTGGCGCGCAAAACATGAAAAGCTTTTGCCCTGCGTGGCATGTGGCGTGCATGTGCACCAATACTAGGGGCATCAACCATGCAAGGATTGTCAGAAACTCCCCAACAAAAAGCCGGCAAGCAATTGCCCCATCAACACCTAATATCGGCGGACACACAAGTTGTCCTGACGAGGCGGCGGACAAAACAACTTGCGATTGGGCTGGACAGAACCCAAGAGTGTGGCTTATTCCCAAGCTGAGGCCCAACGTTCGACAGATCTGGAACTTTGGAGCATCCGACGCCCAAGTCGATCCAGCGAACCACGTAGCCCAAAATGCTCTGAGCATTCTCCTTCAAACCCGTGCGCATAGCTCCAAACCCTGCAACTGCTTGTGAAATGGTGCTCATGCCGAAAACATGGTTTGGTGTACTAAACAAGTACTAAATACTCATGGAGCTGCGTCGATGCTGGTTGAATGAAGTAGCCCATCATTGCAAGATGTTCTCGAGATTTTGCAATATCCTGGCTTCGCAGAACCAAATGCCGGCCAACAACTGCTTCCCCTCGCTCCTTGAGCTCATGAGCGATCTCCTCCTTCGACAGCTTGGCCGGCAAGAGGGGAGGCTCGAGCAAGGTCTCCTGAGTTGGCAAGGCCGTGGATTACCGTGCTGATGGATCTTCGAACCTTTTTGAAGGCTTTGTGCCAGCCATGGCCCTCAGCGTATGCTTGGCCGCAGCCCTCAGTGGCTCAGGCGAGTGTCAATTTTGGCTGCTGGGCGCATCGCGAGCTGCATTTGACGCTCGGGCACATCCACGTGATGATAGTGGATGCCTGCGGCGATCTGGCATTTTTCTGTGAGCAGAACTGAACTGGCGCTGGCCGAACTGCAGGCCCAGCTGTGATGCAACCCGAAACAATAGCATGACCTCTTCATTCTGCACCCCTGGCTCGAAGAAGGTTTGGAGACAGTGGTCCCTGACCTCCAAACATATAAGCGCCTGAGAGACCTTCCATTCGAGTAGAACACCGTTTTTGAGCGAATTAGAGCCAAGCCGCTGTGGAGGGTCGCCGCTGCAGGGGAAGGCACCCAAGCTGTGCTGGCACCAGCCATGAGCTCCGCAATCTTGCCCTCCAACATGTCCTCAGAAGCTTAAGAAGCTTAGAAGCTTTCTGTGCCCGAGTCTACATGCGACTGCTTTGGCTTTGGGCTACATCATCTCTGAACTTCGGATTGACTGGCCGAAGCTAAAGGACCACATGGCTGACAAGATAGAAGAGCGGGCAGGAGCGAGACGGACAGCGAGAGGAGGAGAAGAGAGAGGAGAGCGAGAGAGAGAGAGAGAGAGAGAGAGAGAGAGAGTGGGAGAGAGATAGAGACAGCACTAGAAAGAGTGAGAAAAAGAGAGAGAGAGAGAGAGAGCAAACACTTGGGTCTAAAATCTCCCTGTCCTTCATGCTGTCCGGCTTGGCCCACATGCCCTTGCCAATCCTCGGTGCCGCATGGTGCCACAAGCTGATGTATTGCATGACTCTCAGTTAAGTCGAGGCAACCGAAAACCAAGCGACCTCCAATGTATCAAATGTTGAAGGCGCTGTCTTATCTGTCAACCGGCTAGCCCTTGCCCTCAAAACAGCCTTTGAAGGCGCGCCCCAGCCAACATTCAAGCCCCCAGAAGCAGCCCGACTGCAAAGCTCAACACCTCGAAGCCGCATGCACGGAGCCTAAGAAGCCCAGATCCTGAAACGTAGACCCGACGAAATGGAGCGAGAACAGCAAAAACACGGCTCTCAGCGTCCCCAACCCCCCCAAAAAAATCTCAAAAGTCACTGTTACAGAATCTGAGGATCTGGGCACGTCCTTGCAGGTTGGAATGAAGCCCAACGTCCACGTTGCCGGCCTTCGGAAGTTATTCAGATTCTCTTTTGTGTCCGATATTGCACTTAAGTGCATATTCCTTAATGCCCCTGCAAAAGTAGTGCCAGAAATTCCTTGTCATACTTCTAGAACGATGATGCGCCCAGGCCACGCCAGCTCGGCAACTTTGCCGCAAAGCGGGCGTGCTGCCCCGGATTTTTTCAGGAGCACGGAGCGCCTAATACTACATTGACATGACCTCTCTTCAAAAAACAGCAATTCGCCAGGAACAGACTTACACTAAAGAACAGTAACATCTGAGGGATGCTTTTTTTTTGGATAGGCAATGTTGTATACACAGGGTTCTTCCTGTCCCTGCACGTTCTGATAAGACATTTACTGCCATGAGATGGATTCCCCAATATAGTAATATAGTCCTTGCAGGCACCTTCCCGAAAGAGCGCTTCTAGAGTCTCGCACATGAAAGAAGAGAGGAATCGTAGAGACAAAACAGAAGTGGAACAAAAACAAGCATCAGGAGTCAGGAAGAACATGAAGAGCTGAATGAGGGCCAGCAGGAGGAAGTCACAATTGCACAGAGCGCCAACAGTCATTCTAGCCTTCCGGCCTACCATCAACTTCCATCGGGATTTCAGGCGTGTTTCTACCCAAGCCTGGTGCCTCAAAGGCTCAAAGCACAAGGACATGATGGGACAAGCGCGCGGCATTTCAAGCGCATGTTCCGCTCCGGGCCTCATAGGACTGAATCCAATTCCTTGCGAAAAGCGGACTTCTTGCGGGGCGGAGAGGGACATAAAGATATAAAAAGAGCTCGAGATGACAGGGATGAGCGAAGCCCTTTTTTTCATGAGCCCTAAAGGGAAATCTCTCTTGCGCCGGGCGACTGCTTCTTCATGTCACCCTTGCGCACCACCGCCCCGGCCATCATGCACGTGTGGATCTCGTCGCCAGTACGATCCAAGAAGCCGGTGTTGATAAAGAACACCTCTCAAGGAGTCAGAGGAAAGAGGTCAGAGAGGGCTTTTGAATGTGAGAGAATTCAGGATGTCTCCGACCCAGGTTTCACAGTGGAGAAAAGGAAGGTCCTCCGGCACGAGTCAACGCTTCTCAGCGAACCCTCTCAAGCAGCGCTGATGCGCTGCACTGCAGATTCGCTGATATGTTCACTGCCGAGTGGCTCGCTCCATGGCTGCCCGCAGGCACTCCCGCAAGTTGGCGCTGGTCCGGCGCTCCTCGTCCATGATGCCCATCCTCAGTGCTCAGAGGACACAGCGCCGAAAAGGTCGTCTTCAAGTGTGGTCTTTCAGATACGTAGACACACTGAGGCAGCTTCGGCACAGCTAAGCCTTCTGCCTCCATTTTGAGGTGCCTTCTCTGTAGGGTTGCATTAAGGATTCTCCAGTTTTCAGGGTGCACCTTGGCAAAAATGGTGTCATCTGTTGTCTGGTCCTTCTTACAATGACCTTCCTCATCTGTTTTGAAGTCTTTCTTGCGTTTCGACGCAAAATGGAAATTTCTCAGCTGCCTCACTTTGTCACGCTTTCTGCGGAAATTCGCCAAGAGCCTGGTGTTCTCTTCCGTATGGGGAGATACAGAAAATTTCCGTCCACCAGGCTTCCTGCGCTCGCAGGCGGATTAAGGCGGCATGCACAGGTGCAAGGCCAGGTCCTTGTCTCCTGTTGTTTCTGGAGCCTTCCTTTATGATCCTGTACGCTGTAACGCGCTGATTGCTGTGATGCATTTCCTGTCTGGCCCCCCCCAAAATGGAACCCCACTCAACCCGCTTTTGAATCAGGACCTACCCTGAGGCCCTAAGCCCTTTTCTCGGCCCCCAAACTGCGAACCCTCAGTGATGCCACCGTGGAGCTTGATGGTGTTGCGGCGCAGCCCGAAGAATTCCTCTGCTCGGCCGAAGAGACGGCTGGTCAGCGCAATCTCCTCGGGAGGTCGGAGTTAACTGGAGGATTTAGAGGGGGCTCTTAACTTAAGCGAAATCACACACACACACACACAGATTCACGTGCGCTTCCGCTCTCGCCCTGCTTCAGCTGCGAAGTCAACTCTTTTCACGGGGGAGGCCCATATAGCTCACTTAGCAGTTCAGGATGAACGATGCAGGCCGATACTGTCTTCTCCCCTGACTCTGCCGGGCCACCTCCGGCCCGTGCTGCTTGGGCTTTACGATGTAGACAGAGCCTGGCAAAATGGGCATGAAGGGCATGGAGAAGCCCGTTACAGGCATTGCTTGGTTGGAAAACTGCAGGAACTGCACACTGGCTGTGGCTGGCAAGGATATGCCTATGACAGCTTGCTAAGCCAGATGGCAGGCCTTCACGGCTGTTCATCAGACGCCCAGTGCCGCGCAGGTCATGGAGGGCGCACGCCGTGGTGATCAAGCAGTCCAAAAACCCTGTCCGGCTCATGGGGTTTGGCAAGGTTTGTCAAAACAAAAACCAGCATCTTGGAGGGAAGAGAAGCACCACGGAATACGACAAGCTGTTGAAAACTTAAAGTCCCCACCAATGATGCCGCAGGGCCCTCAGGAACAAACTTGCCATCCGCTGTCAGCACCGCATCGGTGAACCTGACACGTAGATCGCTTGTCGAGGGTCTCACCAGGTTCTTTGCCTAATGGTTGGCACTCAACAGATTAAGCCTGCCACGCCTTGGCTAGACCATGGACCCGATTGCCGGGAACTGAATACTGAATACCAAACCAATTAAATTAAAGCAATTATCATAAAGCTTGCCAGCGAAGCTGCACGCAGATCTACGCCTTTCCGGAGCAACTCCCCTAAAGCCCTCCGGTCTGGGAGCATGTGGTGCCCAACATTCCGCACCAAAGCCAAAGCTCGGCCAGGGATGGTGCAGACCTGGAGAAAGATGCTCTGCTAGAGTTTGGTCTGACGTCGCAAGACATCGCAAGACCATACCGACACTGGACTCTCTTTCTTTCGCTGGACCCGCCTGACTTATGGCTCATGGCGTGCTCAGCCGCAACTCTGAGCTAAACGTCGTTCCGAGCATGATCTTGGGCAATACATTGGGTGTGGGCTGCGCCGCAAGATCCATGCTACAGCCCATCAATCCTTGACTTACAGGAGTCATTCCTGGGTCGATGCTGCAGTCCAGCGGCATTGCCCTTTGCATCTCGAAACCTTGCATCGACACCACATCTCACCGCTGCCAACGATCCCCGGCGACTGATTGCTGCTCACGATGGAATGCGGCTATTTGGGACAGGTCATACTGCGTTCGGGGCACCAAACGTCGTTGTTCATCTTTCGCGTCATAGCCTTGCCGTCCTTTTCTGGACAGCATGACGCAGGAGGACAGGAAAGGCAGGCCTATCACATCCCAGAACAGATCATACCCACAGCCTATAGTTTAAAGCAAATGCTGTCCCGGTGATCCCTCGCCAAGATCCGGAGCTTGGACCCTTCCAACAGGGAACATTCCATAAGCCCCGCAAAAAACCGAGCGGTCCTTGACAAAGGGGGCCTCAAGGGAGCCACGGAAGATGCCGCAAATGTTGCCTGGGCTTCCAGGACTTTCCCCGCACACATATACAACTCCTTTTTTTTGCATAGGGAGTTTTACATGCATACCTACATATGTACATACAGATGCCCACACCCCCGCTTCCAAGATCCAGATTTCCACATTCCAGATTTGACAGATTTGCGCCCTATCTTCCTCAAAATGTTCAGATGCCAGATTTCCGTCTTGCAGCTTTCCAGATTTCCAGAGGATGGAAATCCGGAAATCTGGAAAGTCAGAGGGTGGAATCTTAGGTGGAGATCTGGATATCTGGAAAGTTAGAGGGTGGAAACCTGGAAATTTCATATAAACCTGGAACTCTTTGACAAGTTTGAAAGTGGAACTCTGACGATCTGGAAATTCGGAATTCTGGAAACCTCGAATGTAGAAACTTAGAAACTTACCAGGGCGGCCACTAGAGTTCTGGAAAATGAACTGTCCCACTGCCCCTAAGCTGGGGTTTCAGGGCTTACTGAGCTTTTTGTAACGGTCTGGACGCACTGCAGAGCAATGCAGGGGTACCCAGGTGCCACTTCCTGTAGCATGCTAGCAGAAGAGTCGAAGGCATGAAGCCTGAACCCCAAAGCCAAAATGAAAACCAGCCACACCTTAACCATGCAATAGAGCACTTGGGTCTTCAAGGGCCCAAAAAGCGGAAGCGCATGTAGGATTCACACAGTGAAGATGATTTCGAAAACCTTCCTTGGGCCATGGCCTTAGCTAGGCCTGGTTGCAGTAGATCTTGCACTTGTCCACGGCATCAACCGCAGATACTGAGTCCTCCATATCAAGGATGGCGGTCAAAGCGCTCTCGGTGGTGATGTCCTGCATGGGCCAGGAATAGAAAGTAAAAGGCCCCAACAATGCCGCCCCCAAGTTCAAGGTGAAGAGAGGCATGGGCTTGTGAAATGGCTCCACGTTGGCAATATGCCACGTGGTGAATCCGGGTAGAGGAGGTTCTTAATGAACCGTTTTTCAAAGATGCAGTGAGGCAGACTCATGTTCTGTTTTTCAGCCTCTGTCCTTGATGCCACTGAGAGCTGCCTTGCCAATGGGGTGGGTCCGGTCAATCTCCAGGATCCTTGGCCCGGACCCACAAAGTGCTGTCCGTGCGGGCACTTCTGCTAAGGTTCGATTTTGGGATGTTCCCCCCCCTATACTAACAGTCTATACTAACAGTCCTTCATAGGGTTTTCTAGTACCCCTTTTATAATCCTTTTTCAGGACTGGTGGTATAAGGGGGGAATATCCCAAGTTCTATTTCTCAACTTGGGAGTTTCAATTTGCCACCCCTTTGAGGCTGGTTGAGGACGCAGTGCCTGGGCTTAGATATCAAGTTGGCTTGGAGACTGCGTTTAGTCGGTTGATCTTGGATTCAGACTTGTTCTTGTTCTTCCTACAAATTCTGGCAAGCAATGAGGTAAGCTTGTGAACAAGAGCAGCACACAACAAAAGAAGCACCTTGGGGAGTGTGAAACCGACGAAAAAAGGCGCTCTAGACCTTCAGCGAGGGGCATGTGCAGTCCATTGTGTTTCAGGATGATACGCCCCTGGTCCGGCACGGAAGGGCTGGAGGATTTAGGTCGCGCCACATCCGCGTCGGGAGGTCCCAAGTTACCTCAGAAGTTTCGAACATCGCCACGAGAGATTCGAACTGCCTTGTGTAAAGGGTGGCCAATGGCTGCCGCTTCAGGGGATTTCATGGCTGTAAGGGCCTAACTCAAACGCCTAAAGGCCAAGGCACCCTGTGAGCCCACATAGAGGGAGGGTGTCCTCAGGTACATGAGGGGGCTAAATGCACATACTTTTCAAAATCCCGAAAAGACGGTCATAACAACAACAAAGCCTCCACACGCTTGCACATCATTGGGTTGCGGGTGTTTTTGCTGTTTGGGCCTAGGCAGGTCAGATGCGCGTTGTGCCGGGCTTCTCGAGCATTGCTCTCTTCGGTGTCCCAGGTGTTTGCATGGGCTGGATGTCCCTGCACAGTATGGCCTACAAGGAACTGATTCATAGTCTGTAGCCTGCACGATTCAGCTCTTGGCCTACGAAGCCTTTCAGAGCTGATCTTCGGCAGCACATGGGAAGGGTTGCGGCCAAAAAGGAGGTTGAAGCCACACATGGCAACTAAACATAATCCCCAAACAAAGAAATCCAAAGAACCAAGCCTTCAAACCCCAAGATGTCCTCAGGGCCGTCGTCGTGCCGTCCTTCAGGAGGAGCTCCAATCGCTGGATGGAGCCCACGAACTTGGGCCAGAGTCGGCAAACGTCACCCCACTTTCCGTGAACCTCGGCTTCCGGGATGCTTTCGGACATTTCCATTTTTGGGGGGATTTCGACGTCTCAAGAAGTCGAGGACTAAACGGCCGCAGCTAGACTTCCTGTTCGCATTGTCTTCGAATTTAAAACCTCAAGACTCCAAAAGCTGCAAAAGCACTCAACAAGTTCCTTGGAAGGAAGCCCGTGCAGCAGCGTGAAGGGAAGCTATTGCGTAACGCAATCGCCCATATGAGTGTGCCTATAGGGTTTCTGTAAGCAATGCGGGTGTTGATGTGGTCCTTGCTTGAAACATCACCCATCTGCTCGGTGCGGTGGAATGTGCTGAATGCCGGCGGTTGCCGGTGCGAATCTAGCGCTCTAGCACGTCTGGAGCTCTCGGGCTTGGGGGCTTAGCTTTACGTGACAAGGGGTATCCTTGCAACACCCACACGCAATCACTTGTGCAACCAGCGCCGCCAGGGGAAACAAAGGTGTCCGGCCCCGGTATGCAAACCAAGGTGCGAGGGGAGCGATCTCATCCAGGAGCCCATTCGCGAACTCGATGACAGCCTCTCCTTTCTCATGATTTTTCTTTGAGGCCCGTTGAAAAAGAACCTCACTTGCGACTTCAATTCTTAAGACAGCCCTCTCCTCGCATCGGGTTGTAGCCGGCCGCGCCCTTTGCGGCGTTGATTTCGACCCCGCTGCTCGTGACGGAGTAGGCCGGGATCACATCGAAGCCGTAGAGGGCGTCATAGAGAGAGCCCCAGCGAGAATTGACGGCATTCAGGACATATCGCGCATTGTCGGAAGGCACCACCAACTGTGGGGCAGGCACCTTAGCAATCTCCTCATCCACAAACTGGGTCGTCACGCTGACCTGTGCAATTCAGCACTCACTCGGGAACCTCTCTTTAAGCCCAAGCTACACAGTCTTTTGAAGTCAGGTGGATGTGTTGTGCGAGGCTTGCAGAAGTTAACAGCTTGGGGTTCTCAATTCCGCGGCTACCCCAATTGACCGGACCATACTGACAGAGTACCACGTATTCTTGAGCGGCGTGAGCGATGGGAGCAAGATGCAGTCAAAGCGCTGGCCCTTTGTCTGGGACGAGGTAGCCGATGTCCCTCAAGAACTCCTCGGGCACAAATTAAACATCTCTAACCCCTACAACTCACCCTTTGATTCTTGATGCCTCGGAGGGGCTTATAGACCAATATGCTGGTAGGTCAACCGCCACCCCCGAACGCATGCCAAGGATCCCTGCAGGCTTGTCGGTAATCAGGCTTGGACAGGTCCGCGCCAGACCTTTGCAGCTTTGTGGCGTTTCGTGTTGAAACAGGGCGTGTTCAAGGGCTTAAAGTGTCTCGGTGGACAAGCCGTGGTGAGTGTGGGGCACCCTGCTGCAGAACGCCTTTGCTCAAGCGAGATCCAGTTGTCCGCTTGGGTTTGCCCACTGTGATTGTACGCAAAACAAATTTCTGTCGTCGCAGCTTTTCGCTTCAATAATGTGAGGAATTGCCAGTTTCCGCAAGTTCAAGGCTATATGAGAAAGCTAGCATGCATGTCGCAAAAACAGCTGGATTTCCCATGTGATGACTGGCGGGCTGGAGGAAATGGGATGCGAAAAAGAAGTCAGGCTGGAGAGAAAGGTCTCTGGACAGCAGCCTGACATCTTTGCTGAATCCCGCGTCTACACGACTGGGGCGCACGCAAACTGGAAACAGCAGATGCCCAGTGCTGTGCCAGCCCATCTGAACTACATAGTGAACCCACGGGATCTTGCATGTGTGATGCTCTGGCCTCACATTCGCAACTCAACTTGTTCTCTGCAAATTCGCTCCCAGACCCCAATCCTGAATTCTCAGCGAATGGTAAGGCGAGAGGCTCCTTCTTCTCCTTGGCTGTTCATGCGACCCACAAACCGTCACAGAGGAGCACAGGTTCTCCAGCAAAGGGCATGAAAGAAATCCGAACATCGCCAGGTCTCGGAATACCATGCATCGATCTTCTGCTGCAGCTCATCCCGCCTGGCTAAGCATCGCTCCACTTCCGGGCGGAGCTCGGAAACCTCAGAGCGAAGCTGCAAGTAATAGTAAATGTCTTGGGTTTCGCTGAGAGCCCCAGCGAGCGCATGTGAAGTCGGACAGGTACTTATATAGTTGGGGCGGGGCTCTACCATCATTTGCAGGCCTCTACTATATGACAGAAATGCTCGCCGGTAACGGGGCTTGTAACGGGGCTTGTAACGGAAACTGTAACGGAAAGGAGCGGAGCTGTAACGGACTTGTCGCGGAGCTGTAACGGAGTCGTATCGGAAGGCTGCAACGGAGCGCTACCGGCTGCAGCGATGCTGTAACGGAAGCTGTAACGGAGCCGTAGCAGAAGCAGCAACTTGATAACGGACCTGTAACAGAACTGTAACGGAGCTGTACAACTGAGCTGTAACGGGAGCTGTGACGGAGCTGTAACGGAGATGTAACGGAGCTGTAACGGAGCTGTATAACTGAGCTGTAACGGAAGCTGTAACGGAGCTGCAGCGGAGGTGCATCGGAGCTGTAATGGAGCTGTAACGGAGCTGTCACGGAAACTGTAACGGAAGCTGTAACGGAGCTGTAACGGAAGTGCAACGGAGCTGTAACGGAGCTGTAACGGAAGCTGTAACGGAGCTGTAACGGAGGTGCAAGGGAGCTGTAACGGAGCTGTAACGGAGGTGCATCGGAGCTGTAACGGAGCTGCTACGGAACTGTAACGGAAGCTGTAACGAACTGTAACGGAAGCTGTAACGGAGGTGCAACAGAGTTGTAACGGAGCTCTAGTGGAAGCTGTAACGGAGGTGCAACGGAGCTGTCACGGAACTGTAGCAGTTGCTGTAACGGAGCTGTAACGGAGGGCCCACGGTGGGTAGCGCAAATCCCATAGTAAATGATGGTAGAGCCCACCCCCAATTATATAGTCGATATTGTTCACTCACTGAACTGGACAAGCCCAAAATGTCAACACCGCCAGCCCCCCCCCCCCCCCCCCCCCCCCGCAACTATCCCCCCCCAACTTCGCGGCTATTGCTGCCGAGCAGCCACGGAGCTGAGGCATGACCAGAAGTAGCCAGCACTGAAACCGGTATCGGGGCAAACCTTCTCCTGTTGACCAAAAAAAAGTCGAGGTCGCCTAGTTGGGGAAGTTGAGGTTGCGCATTGCGGCACTCCACCAAGCTCGTGTGCCTCAATTCCGGCACTGGGGTCTGCAGGATGCCGCTGACACTGCGCGGCATGTTGAACACGCAGAGCGATTCGATAGAGCTCAACGAAGTGCACAATTTTGCCGAAGACAGCCGGGCGTATACTGCTCATTGTGGGAAGAAGAGAGACCACACAGAAAACTGGCATCTGAACGCCCCGGCAAGTCAGCCAGCATCACCCGGCGCACCCAGCCCACATCTGCTGGTCAGATCGAATCAAGCTTCTCCAATCTCATTCTGACCCAAACTATGGCTGGTCCCCATCCCCCGACTTTTGTCATCATAGCATATCACAGCTTGCCAGTGCGGTCCTCGACGGTCTTGTACAACTTTGGGTGGACATGCAGGCCTTGCAAGGCAGGCATTTTGTTTTTGGATCGCTCCTATCGGAGGCCTTCCAGCAATACTTGCAAGAAGAACATGAGCATGTGTAGTCTTTTCGGGAGTAACAGTTTTCGCAGCAGTGTCCAAAATGCCAAGTAATTCCGCCCGCAAGGCCAAGGAAATGGCACCATACCTGCTATGCAGGCCCTGTACCTCCCACGCTGACGTAGTTCGACGGGATGTCGCACTGCGGTGTGGCGCTTAGCGACGCCATGATCCTGAGCGCTTGAGAAAGCTTTTCGTCTCTACGTGGCGGCTCCAAACGCTTATGCTTGACTTGCTTGAGACTCAACTTGCCCTCGGATGGCCGACTAGGACAACTTTTGCAGCTCTGCAAGCTCTATAGTAAGAAACACATGGCGCGAATGCAAGAGAGCGGATGAACTGTACAGGCTCTGAGTTGCTCGATGCTGCTGTAAAGGGTTCTGACATCACAAATGCTTTTTTGGATCATGAACTGCTGAGCCCTCTCTGGCCAACAGTGTCCCTCGTCCCTTGACACACACCGGTAGTGACAGGCATCGCTTCTGCACCATGTGGTGCATCGAGCCAAGCGAACATCAAGGATACTTCTGCCAGGACAGCTGCAAAGGGTGCCCTTCCTGGAACTGGCAAAACAAACCAATATAGACAGAATATAGATCATCAATAGATTCTTCCCGCGGTAACCCATGGGCACTTAGGACTTAGAAACTCCCGCAAAGAGCCAAACCAAGCGGCAGAGATCGTGCGGTCTCGTAGAGATGCAAAAGGGGCTGCTGGTAAACGGCTGCGGACGAGCCATGTCAACATCACTTCGCAAGAGCGTGCGCGCTCCCAATCTGCGGTGCGGCGCTCGCAGGCCTGTGAATGTGATGAAGCAGTCATGACTCTAAAGGGCTAACGGGGGATCAACATTGGTATCATGTAAAAAACACGGATGTGGCGACGGAAGCATATTGCCTAGGGCCCTGCCCTGCCTTTATTCGCTGCTCCAGGATGGGGGGGCCTTGGATTCTTGGATGCTCCGATCACAAGGCCACAGGAGCACAACCACGCAACATCACCTCATGGCAAACCTCGAAGCCGGCTTCGGAATGTGGTAAGCTCCAGGCCCTCCTTTCTTAGCAGGGCGATGGCCTCACTGAACCTGTTGCGCGTTTGGGGGTCTGAAGTTGAGGGAGAGAGCGTGCAGGCTGCAGGAGGCTGCAGACTTGGGACAGTCGATCGACAGCGGGATCTGTGTTGTGTCTATGCAGGAGTTGGCCCTTTCAGTCCTTTCAGAGTCCACGAATGGGTTACAATTCCAAAGTTTTGGGGTGTATGGAACGAAATGACTCGGACGGCTTGTTATCGTTTTGTTGCCTTCTGCTTCCTCTTTTTGATCCGGGTCTTTTGTATGTTCTCGGGCTTCGACGGAAGCCTCCTGAGCCTGGTGGGCTGAAAACCCAAAGCAAACACCCTCGCGCTTCTGGATTGTGCCCTATAGATCCTACGAGTATGGTCCTACAACCCGAATGTCAGCCGAGCTGTCCTACTCAACTCCGAACTCTACTCCAAAGCCTCACCTTCCTAGGCTGAGCCCTCCGGTTTCTCCATTCCAGTCGCAAGCTCTGCTGAGTCACTCAGACCTGCCAATCGCAAGCGACGAACCCAGCAGTGACCGGAAAGCAGCTGTTTATGGTCGAAGGCCCATGCCACTATCCAAGTCAAGTTTTCAACTCCATCACCTGCAGTCCGGCAATGCTCCGGAGGACACCATTGTCATACCATACGGCGTGGATGAGGTGAAGCAAGCTGCGATTCTTCTTGCAAGTCATATTGTGGTAGCAGCCGATCCGTGTCTGGCTTGTTACGAGCAACCTAGGTTTCACCTGCCACCGCCACCTAGCACGACGGCTAGCACTGCTCAAGCAGTTGCGCGTGCGAGACTTGAGGGAAACGATTGAGAGCTGCCACGTTTCAAAAGCTTAAAAGAGCTGGCAGCTCAGGGAGACGCTCGGGCGACTGATTTAACCGCCACCTAAACTACGCTGAACAGCGCTTCGGTCATCGGCCCCGAAGATCCTCTTAAACTTCTGAACGCACAAAACCGACGTCAAAGTACAGAGGCTGTGTGCGGTAGCGAGACAGTATCAACTGACAATTGTACATACAAAACTAGACAACCAGAACTGCCAAGCCAAAGAATAGGTACCGCCACAAGTGTTGTCATCTAAAGGTCCCCAACACGTAACTCTTTCCTCAGCTCTGTGACTCTTAGAATGGAAAAAAAATCGAGTACACCAGGCAAAGTATGCCAGCTCCCTGCCAAGTTCCGGGCCCGCATTGCGATTTGGGGGACCTAAATACAGTGCAGTGCCCCTAAACCCTTAATTTCGACCAACCCTCATTTACAGAAACTCTAGTTATGCAAGCTGCTGCGACTGCGAGCAAGAATTACGGGTTGGGTTGCTGTGCCAACTGATCTTAAGCTGCGCCTGATGACCGCACGATGAATACCCAATGCATGCATCCTCATAGCGGGTACAGCCAGACAGCTGGAAGGGCCAACGCCTGCCGCAGGCTCTGCACGAAGCAACCACCCAGCCTACGTTAGCTGCAAAAGAAGAGCAGACTCTTCATCCGCAAACCATCCCTTGAAGGTGACGGTTATCGGTTGGAGCATGCACACGTCCAGACCAAGGGGACCCCCCAAAACGAGGGCAGGGCCGAGCCTTGGAACGTGATGTGAGCGGCCGCCAGGCTCATCCTGAGAAGCAGGGGCGTGTAATTACTGGCACGCCTTAAGCAGGTGTATTGCAAGCCGTCAATCATCGCTACAGCTCTGTCAAGTAAGGCGAGGAGCAAGAAACACGCAGCAGTTGGCATTTTGGCAAATGTTGGGATTTGCCACGCGTGAGGGTCAAGTTTTCCGGACCTCGCTTTTTCAGAGTCAAGCAACCCAAAAATCTTGCGGGCAGAACGAACTATTCACAAAACTATGTGAAAGATGGTCTTAAATCAGTCCCGTTCAAGGCCAGCCCTTTGACATCCCACCAGGAACGTGGCCTGCTGAATGAAAGGCCCTTTCCTCTCGAAATGCAAGGCCCTTGAAATCTTAAAGCAACGCCTTGGATTTCACAGGCCTGCCATCTTGGCTCGGGGGGGAAGGGAGGGGGGGAGTGGAGGATCCAGGGGCCGGGGTTCCGTTCCATGGAGGGTCAACATAGCCCTCGGACAGTTCGCGGCGGGGGGGGGGGGGGTACATAAAGAGGGTCCAACATAACAAAGGAACTCGAAAACATATAAACTTAAGGCAGCCTATCTTGCCCGTCACATGGGCAAATCATATGGAAACGACTGGAATGAAGATCGACACAGTGGCCTCCTTCTCGCACCAGCGAACGCATGCGATGGAACAAGCGCTCTTGGGCGCCTAGGATGCGGCGTGGCGTCGGCTCCCTCGATTGCATACTCACAAGTATTGCCCCAAAACCGAATGTTGAGCTCAGAGAGGTTGGAAGCGTACTTAAAACTGGACGACTTCGCTCCAACGTCTAACGCACCGATGATAGCAGTGGCAGGAAGTAGCTGTGTGATGAGGACATTGATGGATATTGCCTGTAGGCTGGCAACGATGACTGGAGTTACTTTTCAGCAGTGTAGAATGCCAGGCGCATCGCAAGTACCAAGAAAAAGCACCACGCTATAACACGCCAGCGTGAGACTAGAGCCCACTTGCATGTCGAGATCCTATGGCATGGTATATGCATTAGTACTACACAATGTCCAACCCACTTTGAGTGACAAGGAACCGGACCGGAAAGAAAGACCTCAACATGCAATGACACCGACCAGGGTCGGGTCACATCCGGAGTAGCTGGGGCCCACACGCCTCTCACCCAAGATGCGCCCGTGAAAGAAGTTCTGCGGGATTCGACAGGATTTGTGAATCTTGCGGCATAGAAGGGGCCATTCTCACGATCACGCACACAAGCGCGAGAGAACGATAAAATCGGAGAATCACTCGCAATGACGCGCATGAGGGGTCTGGGCCAGGGCACCGTGGAGTCCCTCCTCTTCAACTTGTGCCTCCAACCTGATCCTCCAGCCTACTCTGCTTCGGTCCGCATGACATGTGACATTGGCAATCTTCATCCTCAACCTCCCTTTGAACCAGGCATGAACCTAATATTGGGTACGAACGAGCGCGCCTCGCACCACAGGATCTCCAGGGCTTCAGCTCCTTGTGACCTGGGACAAATGGAGTCGGAGCTGAGTTTCAGCAGCTGCCGGGTCTCCAGGGCTTTCAACTTCGACGCGCTGTCACAAACGAGCAGAGCCCGTGCTATTGAGTCCTCTGCTAGACTATTGAACTATTGCAGTCTTACAGTATACTAAGTATATGCCGAACGCGCTGGTTCTTCGTTCTGGTTTGTAGTGAGGGTGTACCGAGTTTTCAGAAAATCAGAACATGTTGGAAGAATTCCATTCTGTTGATGATCACTGGGCACCTGGCTTGCTCGCAGAAGCTGCCTGTTGAAGTGTATCCACCCGCACATCCGTGGAGGAGCCTTTCATCGGAAGAAGGTCAAAACCAATGGTGCATGGTGCAGGCTCTAATGGCTCCAACGGTATCTGATGCCGCATGTCGGCTGAAAAAGTCGTCGCATTTCCACGGCTGCCACTTACCATCGGATTACCGGATCGGGCTCCCCATAAACTTGCAACCGCTCCGAAACTTCCCTCCCCCCCTTGCAAACCGCCCTATACTTCTTCCTGAACTGACAATCTCCTCTCGAAACGGCTCCAGGATCTTCTGTCTTCTTCTACTTACTCGGCTTGAAGGCGATTCTCTCCCTCTCTTCCTCCCCCCCTTCCAGAGCACATAGCCCCCATCGGGGCTGCCCCGAGGGCGGGGGCGCTTAACAGGTCTTTTTGGTGAAGCTCTCTCTCTCTCTCTCGCGTTCCCTCTCTGGCTAGATCCAGACCATGGCTGCCACTGAACCAACAGCCAGAACTGCACTAACGCCCCAACGCAGGCCTGAGGTCGGAATCCGCTTTTGCTTTGTAGCCAAGCCTTGGCAGGGAAATCGGTCTCAGCGTTCGTTCTCAAAATACCGAGTTAGGGGGCAGCCATCGTGTCCCCATTTTATCATCTCTACTAATCTCCACGATACTGTGCAATACGGCGGGGGCTCTTTGAGGTTTTGCGTTGGGTTTCAAGTCAAAAAAGCAAACACATCACATCACGACGGTGGACATTCTTGGTCTCCCCACATTCGAATCTTAGCCGGGCACTCTTGTTGTTAGTCTTCAGTCATCTTCAGTCTGAATTCAAATCGAAGACTTCGCCTTCGACCCTGCACCAAATCGCAGTGAAGTCCCTCCACCGTGCATCTAGATATGATTGCTTGTTGTCTCTGGCCACCCTGTGCTGGCAATGTCCCGAAGCAGCTGTCAAAACAACCCTGCTGGTGCTTCCACATCTGGATGAACGCTACCATCAGGAAGATGGGAACAGTGCAAACGGCAGCATCATGGTCATCTTCTCAGGTAGGATAGCATTCCGTCCCCGAGCACATCAAGAATCATGGGCATCTCAAGAGCATTCAAAGGCAACCATGCTGTTCACCATCCTGGAACTGGAAATTGTTGCAGCGTGTTTTCGACAAAGCCCCATGACGATGGTTGTAAAGTTGGGCGTTCCGTTCATGAAGGCGGCTGTAAAAGACGGCTGTACAGTCAGTAAACGTTCTACCCACAGAAAATGCATGCGGCGGCAAAGTGGGCGTTCTGGTTGTAAAGGGGCTTAATCTCGTTGGGGGCGGGGGGGCGGGGAGTGGCGTTCGTGTTGCTGCCGATTTTCCGGCGGTTGACAACGACTTGAGTGCTTGGTGATTGCTGTATGAACGCCCAGGCAGTCCAACGCAACATCAAAGCTTCTACGGTTCACCACGCTAACCATCGCCACGAAGAAAGAAGGGGAACTCAGACATGGTAGCACATGCCCTTGGCAATTTACGCTGAGGTTAAGTGCCCTGCGCCGTTGCATTTTGCGGGCCGACTTCTCGTGCTCAAGGAGGCGTCTCACAAAGGTGGATTGGACCTGATGAGATGTGTGACGCTTTTAAGTGACATGTTCAGCTTTCTCTCGGGTGGACGCGGTGGAGTGAAAGGTTAATGATGCTGGAACCCAGGCGACAGACCCCTCAGCTGCCCAGAAGCTTTCCGACAAGGCAATCTGGCCACACGCTGACAGCTAACTTGGACGTGAGCCGATTTGGTTCCACCCCCTCCCCGCACACACGGACACAGCGCTGCTTTTGACACAAGTTTGCTCTGAAAGACACCGAGGGTTTTGCCACGGGAGTGACCCTGTGGGCTACAGTAGATCGGCCTAAATGGCCGTTGCAGGCCCCCAATTTACAAATTTCATCATCAACAAGTGCACAAAAGGGCCAGGTAGAGAAGCAAATGCTGATAAGTACCACTACTGACTATGGAGGGCTACAACCACAAAACTCGTCGCGTGGCCTTGCACGTCCGTTGGCATGAGGCAACACGAGATGAGGAAATGGCAAGTGTACATTAACTTGGTATTTGTATTTCTCAAGAGTGAAACTGCGGCGTCAACTGCGAGATATCCGCCGATAGAACTATACTGCTCCTCCGAAACATCACCTGCTTAGGGTTGGCCGCGCTTTCACTGTTAGCAAGACGAATGCCCTGGCTGGCGGCCAGCACTTACTTCGGGACATTGAGGGCCCTGGCTGGCACGTAGGCACTGCAAAAGGCCTGCGAATGGTCACGCTAATCGTGAACGACAGGTCTGACTACACATCTACGCGGGCTAAGCAGAGGATCTTCCGAGCCGTTCGGCTGGTACAAGTGACTGGCTAGAACTGCTGAATTCAGTCCGGCATGTTGGGCACAACGCGCCCTTCTTGGCAGACGCCATCGACCAACGAGCAATGCACCTCTGATGAAAAACATGTCGACATGGAAGGACTGCCACTTGGCTGTCTGGCAGAAAGTCATCGAGGCAGCATGGACACGTCTTCACACTCTCTGTCTCCACAGTGCAGGCAGGGCCAGGCATGTCGGACACTTCTGATGTCACTACCCATTCAACCGTCCCTTCTCGGCTTGCGATGTGGATGCGACGATACTCCAGTGGCCTTGTTGCCAGCATGCTGAACTCACAAGCGGCCCAAATGCAGCTGCACGCTGCTGGCATCTGTGAGTTGCTGCCGCGTGCCCGTCCGAACGCCGTCTTTGTGATCGCGAGGAAAAGTGTAAGGGACAAGATCACCGTTACGATCAAACTGGGCAAACTTGCTCGACTGGACACTGTAGACAGCAGGATAACCAAAACGACCACAAGGGAGAGGAGTGCCAGAGTGATTGCCGTGATAACCGCCGCCTTGGCGTTGTATCCTGTAAGGCACAAACCCGCCGAAGTAGATTGCGCCATCCGGTTCCAATGCAATCTGCAAATAGCAATCTCAAGTTCGCAGAATGGCAAGCGAACCACAAGCACAACAAACGCGCTACGCAGTGCTGCTACTTCTCCTCCCTGTTCCTGATGAGCCAGGGGCCGATGTGTGACAAGACTGCGTCACGTGGGTGGGGTGCACTAGTAACTCACTAGTAAAACTATTTGGGTTCTAGAGATTTACAAACAATCACCATAGGCCGGCGCAGGCGCACAGAGTGTCCCATGCGCCTCCTACCAGGTCCTACCAGCCCAAAAGCGGCCAAGCTTGCATGATATGCAGCCCAGCCCATCTGGTCGCGAGCGCCCGCAAAGTTGTTCTTCTCTGTCTGAAGTGCGTGCTGAGGGTTTCGAAGCGTCTCGCTGTACAATAAGTTGATACAAAACTCTCTCGCGGAGTCGCATGTCCTTCGGCATGTGGTCTCCGTTCATGGCGAGAAGGAAGACGACTGGGCAAGATGTGAACATGGATAACATGACCACACGTGTCTGCTTTGTGCCAGGAATTGAAAGGCAATTGAACAGTATCCTTGATGCATTGATTACCATGCAACCCCTGCTGAATTCCGATGAAGGTTGGTCCTGACACATTTCAAACCAATACCCTGGCTGACAGCCTAGCACTTAGGCATTGCGGACAGCTTGTCTATAAACAGTGGCAGGGTGCTGCACGACACATGAGGTGTCATGCGAAGTGGCTAGACGGTGGCAACTCCGAGCCGTTCGGCTGGTACAACTAACTCGCTAGAACTGCTGAATTCAGTTCGGCATGTTGGGCACAATGCGCCCTTCTTGGCAGAGGCCATCGACCAACGAGCGATGCACCTCTGATGAAAAACATGTCGACATGGAAGGACTGCCACTTGGCTGTCTGGCAGAAAGTCATCTAGGCAACATGGACAAGTCTTCACACTCTCTGTCTCCACAAGGCCAGGCATGTCGGACACCTCTGATGTCGCTACCCATTCGACCGTCCCTTCTTGGTTTGTGATGTGGACGTGACGATACTCCAGTGGCCTTGTTGCCAGCGTGCTGAACTCACAAGCGGCCCAAATGCAGCTGCACGCTGCTGGCATCTGTGAGTTAACGCTCCATGACCGGTGTCTGCATGCAGTCGCAATCATGCCGAGGAGGAGAGCAGAGGAAATCATCGATGTCAAAATCAAGCTTGGCAAGCCTTCTCTGCTGGGCATGGTGACAAGCAGGACAAGCACCATACCGACAAGGGACAGGAGCGCACAACTCATGGCCGTGATGACTGTGACCTTGGTGTTGTACTCGAAGAACATCGCTTGCGAAATTCGGGGCATCTTTAGTGAGACAAGGATGCTTTCGGCCGCTCATGGCCGCATACTGCCCCTCCTGAGCCACGGATACGAGCAGTTGGCTGGATTCTCAACATGAACCTTATGAACCCTTGCCCAATGCATGCTCATCACTGGCAGCATTCAAAGTGTTGGACTGACTCTGTCTCATTGGAGCCTCGGGGGTTTAGACGAGTCCCGTGTTAAAGACAAGCTTTCATGGCTTCGCTCTTGGCGTGACATGCTAGTTGCTAAAATTTTGAAAGTCACCAGTTTGTGGTTGGGAGGAAAGAGGAACGTCTAAAGAGGAACAAGACCCGCTTCAACTGTCGGAGGGCCACAGTATCCGGGGTCAAAATGCCTTATGCCCTGATGTGTGTGTGACAAGCATGACGAAGTTCGAGCATATGTCTCTGCAGTACATGCACCGGGTATGACAAGAGTCGTCTCGCAGCCACCGACCCAGTTTTTGGCTTCTCGTCTACTAAAGGTCCAGCCGCTTTAGATGCGGCGGTGTGTGCTACGAGATGCAAGAGCTAAATCCTACGGAATGGCAACGCTGCGACAATCACAACACCACTCGATCTGTGACCCACGCAATGTGATCGTCGGCCCCCAAGGTCACGATGGTCGGTACCTTGAGGTCCTGACGATGGGGTTTGAGGGTTCATCCATCGCTGTGGGAAAGCATTACTTGTTCGGCATCAAAAGCTTTCTTCTGCCTTATACATGTGCGAACGTCGAGGGAGGGGAATTGAGGTCCCGAGCGATTCCGTAATTCAGCAGGGCCAGTATCGCAAATGTGTCCACAGTCTTACAAGAACAAACTCACTTGGGTTCGGGCTGCATGCGGGGTCTTCGCCCTGAATACTCAAGTGACATTGCGAAAGCAGAGTCTCGCCTAAAGGAGGCAATTGTTCGTGCCGAAGGAGGGCTCTTTCCCATCTCTTGCACAAAGCATTCATCGGTTCTAAGGAACTTCCCCCAAACACGATGTGTGTCCTGAAAGGCCCCCCTAAAACAGACTCATTGGAACTCCAGGATTCTATTGCTTGCAGATTATTGCTGTCCATCGAAAGAAGCCGTCTCCGCTTGACAAAAAACCCAAGACGCGAGACTCCTCGGGCCACATGGAACTTTGCTCCCAGAAGAAATTTCGGCAAAGGAGGTTCACCGTGAAAAGCTCACCTGCTCAGCAAGAGACCATCGGGACGCACTGTCACTTTTGCGTGCCCATACAAACTCAAAACGATACCTACTGGATAGACCCTTGACTGAAATCAACTCTGTTGCGCCGTGTCGCGGAATGCAAAATAGCGGATCAAGATCTCGAACGTGGTCCTCAGATCGACTTGCGAGAACTCACACTTAAAGTCGCACTGTGATGTACATGTCATACGTATTCAACTAATCAGCCTGCAGCCGTGCACGCTAACTCTCGACCCTCCCCCTCCCCTTTCCCTACCCCCTCCCCCCGCCCCACAAAAAAAAGAATTAACCTACGCGTTCAGAATCCTCGGCGATGTGGTTCGTATACCCCACATGTGTTTACTCATGCCACATGTCACAGCATAGACTCTCACAAGCACAGATCCGGCATGGCAAGGGAGGGGGTGGGGAAAAGCGACTATAGGCATCGCATGGACAGGAAATACAGCTGTACAGTGTGGCTGAACGCATGGTCGTGACATTGCAATGGTTTATTGCATCGCTTCGCAGCTGTTGCAGCCGTTGAAGCACTTTAGGTTTCACTTTCTTTGTTCGACTCTTGCAGCGGCATGAAGACTTGGAGAAGCAAACGGTTGGATGCATCACGGCCAGTTTTGCTGTCTCATGCCTACTTGGTTTCAAAGGCGAACAGTACGAGGACAGGCTGAATCCCATCTTTGTCAACGCTGGGGTCAGTGGACAAGAACCGGCAAACCTGCACGAGATATGCCACAACTGACATCCACGATGATGCCTGGGCTGGCATGAACCGCGGTTGCAAATCAGCAAAGCCTTTCGACGAGTCCAGAAGAGCCTGAGTACACTCCGTGGTGATGCCATGACCGCACCAGCCCCAACAACTCATGTCCTTCAACAAAAAGGGAAGCTTTTCTTGGTTGTGTACCCTGCTTCCCACGAATTGCTCCAGGCAGTCATTGCCCCTGCAGCAGTTGAGAGAACATGCCATGGAACCAGCTCTAGCGGGACGCCTCGTGAATGCACATTGCTAAAGCTTCTTGCCGAAGGCGTCGTCTGTGTAGCGGTCGCCTTCCATGTGCTTCGGTGCTGTCATCCGTTGCGTTGCGGACCTGCCGCTTATGCTGGAAGTGCCGCCTCCTCGCTTTTGCTCTTGCAGTCTTTCCGGACGTGAGAAGGAATCGGACTTAGCAGAACCCCACAACAAATCGGACCCTCGGCTGTTGCAGGTAGGTGGCGCAGCTTGGCCCCAGAGAACCCTCAGCGTGCTGGGACAAAACCACAGAGAGTCTTAAGGGGTTTTTAGGGGGGGGGGGGGGGGGCATTGAGGGTTTCTTCTTGTGCGTTGCCCAGCGGCTTTGTGAGGGCCTCAGCCTTGATCACCAGAAACTGTGCAGGCTCCATCCTGGTCTGCTTTGGCAGATTTGAGGGGAGGGGGGGGGGCTAGGGGGAGGGGGTCAACAATGATCAATACACTCCATTAGTCATTCGTAAAAGCACAGGCACATCAACACACAGACACACACACACACACACACCACACACACGAAGCTATTCTAGGCGTCCTGTTTCTCTCATTGTTTGCACGGAGCCAGGTCAGACATGCACGTATGTTTCAAAGGCCAAGCATCAAGGTCGAGTAGACGACGGAGCTCGGGGACATCTTCATGACCTCTGCCAGGCTCTGCGGGGGCACTACTGAGTCACTAATGTTGTATCCTGATTAGTGTGCTCCCCCGGAATTGTGGAAAAAAATCCAAAAATTATTCAGGGGGATCTATTTGAGGAGGACCCCCGGAATTGTGAAAAAAAATCGGGCGATGCAAAATTTCGGCGAGGCTGTCGACTGGTGTTGTCGTCCATAAATCGCTTCTGAACCGAGCCTGAGAGACCAAAGATCAAAAGTTTAAAGACTGAAACCTTGAGGCCTGAGGTTGTCGGGCCCTGAAAATTTCAGTCTCCAGGCCGGGCCCAGGGCTAAGATTTCCTTATTAAATTCTTTTGTACCGAGGCCGGGCAATCAAATTTCAAAGGGGGTAGTCCAGCAGCTGCCCGGATGCCGTATAATATAAAAGTTTGCTCCCCCGGAATTATATTTTTTTTTGCGGGCTAGTTGGGTTTGGATCCAGAGGCCTAAGGGCTGAGGTTTCCTAAACCTTGAGGCCTGAGGTTGTCGAGCCCTGAAATCTTCAGCCTCCAGGCCAGACCCAAAACTAAGATTTCCTTATAATAAAATTCTTTTGTACCGAGGCCGGGCAATCAAATTTCAAAGGGGGTAGTCCAGCAGCTGCCCGGATGCCGTATAATATAAAAAGTTTGCTCCCCCGGAATTATATTTTTTTTTGCGGGCTGGCTTGGTTGGGATAGATGGATCCCCTTTAAATTCATATAACCTCATCCTTCTTAAAATCGTATGGATCCCTCTTAATTTGATATAGTCTCAACCCGTTTAGAATCATATGGATCCCTTTTACACTCATACGAGCTCATCCCTTTTAAAATCATATGGATCATATGGATCCCTTTTAAATTCATATAAACTCATCCCTTTTAAAATCATATAAAACCAGACCCCCCCCCCCCCCCAAATTGCCCCCCCCCCCCCCCCCCCTCTAAAGAGCGGGATCCTTTCGTTGAGGGGGGGGGGGGGGGGCCACACTAATCAGCAGACAACATTACTGTAGATCGCCTCATGCCCCCGAAAGCCATAAAATCGCCAAAACAGCCTTCAGCCTGAATGTGGGAATCCAAAATCCTACCTACAAAATCTACGTACGACGTAACGAATTTCTCGCCACTCTTTTTACATCTCTTGGGCCCTCAGCACCACGCCCAACCGATGACGACGCAGCCGAAGGAGTGCCCATGCCAGTGGGCAGCGCGGTGGCCGTGCGCAGCCAGCATGTCCTCCGGTTTGCCAGATTTGAGGCCTACATGAGGGCATGGCTTGAAGCAGAGCCATGCTATGACCCCTCCATCTGTTTCGTGGGTTCACAAGCTGTGGCAATCGGTACCTGACATGATGCCAGTACATCTACGGCTTTGGGGCTTACCAACCTTGTGCCTATTAGCGTCAAGATTGCAGGCCTACGGAGAGTTAACTTTGCGAGCCTTGGAAGACGTGAAGAACATCTGCTTGACACAAACAAATGTGAGCATCCAAGCAAGATCCCAACACCTTACATCCCAAAGACTTCAAAGTAGAACCCCTGCACGTTGAACCTTTTTGGCAGCCCCTCTGCTCCAGCCTGAAGCTGGGCCACCACTTCGCGTGCCGAGGGCACGGACTCCCATGGGGCCATGGCCAGGAAGGGAAACCTGTGGGCTCATGCTGCTGGCAAAAAAATAGGGGTTCTTGGCGTTTGGTTCATGTAACCAAAGCGCTATCAAGGTTCGTACTTTACGGGTTGTGGGCGGGGGGGGCAAACTCACGCGGCCGTTTGGCTTTCGTTTGAAAGCCTGGAGAGAAGGTTCATCACCTCCACTCAGAGGAGACTCTTCAACCAAACTAAAATACCGTACTTCCAGGCAAGCCCCTGAAACAGAAGCTGCATCTGAAGCCCCATATCCAGATTCGGCCACCAACATCCGAGAGTCCGAGGAGCTCTGGTACGAAGAGCTCGCCACCTAAAAAGTTCAGGGCTTGGCAATGTTCGCGAGGCCGCTAGGCTTGGAGTTTGGGAGGCAAAACAATATTGTGCCTCTATGAACGGGCTTCAACACTCCCACTCTTCTTGCGGGAACTGGGACTTAATGACATGATGCGGCGCCACTTTGCATGACACCCTCATGGCGGAAGGCTGAAACAAACGCGCCGAACTCCAGGTTACAACTCCTACTTGCAAAAGAAAATGCAGAAGCGTCAGCCGCACATCGGGATCGAGGGCTCAACAAGTGTTAGGTCCGCCACTGTGCCGCTTTGACAGGCGATAGATGAAGAGGAAGTATGGCACCTCGGCCGCATGGGCAACTCAAATTGCCCACACCCTCGATGGCCTTGAATTCCTTGAACCTTCAGAATCACCCAACGGTTTTCGGAGGCTGCCGGAACGAATTACGAGACTACTACCACGCGCTGGGTTCTTAGACTCTGGAAGAATCCAACGCCACCAGAAAGTCTGTGCCAATGCTGCTTAGTAGCCAAGCCGACCCCCAGGCCATGCACGAAGACCAGCGGCTCGCCCCTTGCATACTCTTTGATTGCTTTTCTTGCATCTTGGGCTGGGAAGTGGACCTCATGTGTAGGAATCATCTACCGGGATCTAGATTAGGCTTGGGAGGCCTTGGGATGGCTTTGGTTCAGCTGCACATCATGTCCAGGTAGGTGCTCCAGGCCGTCATCTGGGGGAAGGTGCACGTCTGGAAACATGAGGTCGCAATGCGCAAGCGATGAGAGAATGGCCATGGGCATTTCATTAGTCTGAGGGTGATCTGAAGGTCTGAGGGTGGGACTTTTTAAATGCTTAATGGTCATCTGTGGGTCCAGGGCTGGGCACCGGGATGATCATGTGAGGATGAGAGCCAATGGGGGAATCATTTATGCTGGCAAGAGTTGCAGCGAGGAGGAAAGGTCGCTAAATAACAGTCGCCTGCTTTGTCTGTGCCTGTTTTGCTGCGCTTTCCTGCCCCATTTGAAGGTCTGAATGCTTGAGGGGATTGCTTGAGACCAGCCGCGGCTTCAAGGCCGGAAAAAACCAAGACAACCCCACGAGCACCGCTTACTCCTCAAAAAGTCCTACTACTATTGGGCTCGTTCCGTTGTTCAAAGTGATTTTTGGCAGATGCAGAAGTCACGGCTGATTTCTAGGCCGTGGGCTTTAGATAGAGCCTTGGTGTTCGCTGGATTCATTCTGACGTGTGCTGTCTTTCGATCTTAGCTGCAGAATGCAGAAGATTGTAGAAGTCAGGATGTTCAGCCTTCACCCTTTTCTTCATCTTCTGTGCAGTGCTCATTCATGGATTCGCGGGGCGACAAGTCTCTGCGTCGTGCACAACATAACCCAGTCGGCAACCCAGTGCTGACACCCAGCCGACGCTGACACCCAGCCGATGTTGGAAGCTCTATTTGAGGCATATCTGACACCTGGGGGCGGAAACGTCATCGCGGGGGTCCACATCGTTTCGCCGAGGACGTTTCCTTGGCGGCTTTGAGAATTGGATTCGGGTACTCGACTTCTGCGATACTCGGGTGGCGTCTTTGAGGGTGATTATTTGGGCGTTCGGATGTGTTCGGGGCAGATGTTACACATGTCGGGCACAAGGGGTCGTGAGATCAAGAGCCTGGATTGCACAATCCATGTACTGCGTCTGCAGCTTTGAGGACAAGGCACCCAGCTCCTGTGGTGAGACTTTAGACATGGAGGTCCCTTCGGACTAAAGTTCTTGCTCAATGCGCACGCACAAAGCTCTTGGTTCCCTTCCGCAGGCCAGCGTGGAGAGATCTACCTGGACCTCCGGCCCCAGCCCTTCGCGACAAAAACCGTTGCCGCACATTTTACGCTTCACAATCGAATCATCGGAACTTTCGCAAAGTGCTCGCGAAGGTCGTGTCTGCTGACACAATGCATCACAGCAACTCACGGTATCAGCCAAATGGTCCTCGTGATTGTCTGCGAAAGTTGAACCGTGCCTTCCCAAGATGGGCCTCTTACTGGTCCAACAAGACACCTGATGTGCAACCAGAATGCCTCTCACCCGTACAACAATACAAAGCAACCAACGTTGGACTCCTGCAACAAAGGCTCCAGTAGCAGAGTCCTCCCGACCGTTCCCGATGAAAACCTAGCCTTGAGTCGAAGGGCGGAGGGTTTGGGGATGTTGTCGGATGTTTGGGGGCTGTCTTAGACATCTTTCCTGCATTCTCTCTCATGTCCGACAAGCTGAGGCCTCTGATGATTCCAGCTTGAGCTAAGTGCGGGATCGGGACGGGCAGCCAGAAGTGTTCTCCGCTTCGGGTCTCTCTCCAGCAATTAACACAAGAGGGGGCGAAGAGGAACCCCTGGACCCAAAGAAAGCCCTCATGATCTTCAGAAGCTGTCCAAGCCACCACTGCATCACCTGAGCTCTGAGGCACGTGCATGTAGTCCATGCTACATATATACAAGTACAGAACAGGACACAGACACTCACAGAGACAAACAGAAAGACAGCCAGTCAGACAGAGAGATAGTCAGAAACACAGACAGGCAGAGAGACGCACAGACGGAGAGACGGACAGACATAGAGAGGGGCAGAGACGGAGACACGGACACAGAGAGAGAGAGAGAGAGACACACACACACACACAGAGACAAGAAGTGATCACGCGAACCTGAATCCTGCGACTGTTTTCATGCTTCAAGGTCTTGAAATGGCATGGGTCCATCCTGGTACTCTCCTTGGCTCCCTCTCTTGCCGTGTTTTCTCCATTCTTCGGTTGGGTGCTCGCGGCGATGCGGACTTTGCAGTCTGAAGCAAACATGTTCGGGCAAGGCACCTTGTAAGAGACCAGCGGGCACAGAAGCGAGGTCCCGGCATAGACAAAGAGTGGGCGATGAACCACGGGCAGCGGGTCCTCATCTCACAATTGCTTTCAGGAATACGCATTTTCCTTTCGGGAGTCCCTAGACTTTACTTTTCCATCAAGACAGCAGAAGGCTCTGCGCTGAGTCCTGGGCCCTGCCAAAGCGCATCCAGAAGCTGTGGCAATAGTTCAGGATTTGCGGGGATCGGGCAAGCTCTGATATGAGCCTTTGATCTAGTATCATCGAGTATCCTCCCGCCCTGCCTCCGCTTGCTTACTTTCCAAGAAGGCCCACAAAGATCCGCAAATCTTGGAGCAGACAAGGTGACCGAAACCCACCACCACTGCACCGAACCAGGCCACGGGCTGTCTGCACACAGCCTTCTGTCAGATGGTTTAAGACTCGGCCCCCTCTTGTCAGGCGAATGACCTTTGGAATTAGCCACCCTCAGGATTCGGGAGATTGAGATGGTTGTTCCGGAATTCAATGTGACCTTGCCATAAATTGGCCGCGCATCCCTAGCAGAAGACAAGGCTCAGAGAACACCCTGTAGGTCTTGACGTCCGCGTTGCGGCCCTGAAAGGGCACTTCGGCTTCAATTTCTCTGGTGGTTCGAGGCATCACTCTGCTGGTGTTGCGGATGTTCGTGGTATTCAGGGCAGGTAGAACGATTACCGATCCTGACGCCCTGCATTTGAACCCACCTTCTTTCATGGTCATGCCCAACGTATGGTGTCCGCCGCCCCCTCCCCCCCCGTCACAACGCATTACCGACTCGTGATCAAACCTGACAAAGCCCCTGTTCGCTCACACCTGCACACCTCCCGTACCTCCAGCTACCGCGAAATCGGAGCTAGGGACTGTGCACTATGCCCTGGCGCCTCACGCATATCCAGGAGCCCGGATGTCTGCAGGACATGGTCTGTTAAGCATCGAAGCTCCTCGGTGAGTTGACAAGTTGATGGCACGTGTCATGCGTGCTGTAGCTGACAATTCAAACACTCCGTTCACACAGTTCTCCTGCCCATGCAACATCAATATCACCACATCTCTGCTCCTTGAACTGCTCGGGGCTATCTTCCCGGAGCTCGTCCGGCGTAGCTCCGCGAAACCAGTAGTGGGCAATCCACTCCTCTCATGTTCGGCTGAAAGCTTCCGAGCGCATGCGCAGTTCCCTAGTTCCCTCACAGGCTCCACACCGTGAGGTCATAAAGGCCTGCACGTTGTCCCGCTTCAGCCAGCTAAGTATGTCATCCGCGTCCCCACGCCCAGAGCCATGGAAGAAGGTTGCCAGCTCGTGCCAGCGAAGCCTCCACAAGAACGTTCTCGAAAGCACATGTCTCTGTACTACTTCTTCTGTACTAAACAAGAGAAGAAGGAAATCAGCCCCACACGACCACATGTGAGCCAACCGCCCAGCTGTGGTGGTTGAACTGCAGACTTGGATGTGGACCACCGCAAGGATGTCAATTGCTTGTAGAGCGTGCGGGGTGGACAGTACACACCTAATCCGGAGCTTGTCTGCGTAGCTCAAGCAAATCTCGTTCGACCTTGAAGGACCTCCGCTGTGAATCCTTAACCCACCGTTCCCACCAACATCCGCGTAAAGCCAACATCCAAGGCTCTAACCACCCAAGCCTCGAAACGTCCACGAGCCCACGGACAGAAAGGCAGACGGACAGAAAGACAGGCAGAAAGGAGAAATGTAGAAATGCAGAAGGTAGATCAAGGACTGAGAAACAGATCCTCCCTTTCAAAGGGCATAGGGGTTCAGGGAGTTTTGCACGAGCCTCTGGAGTTCCTCCTCGAGATTGCCCTGGGAGCCCTCCATGTGCTTCCTTGTAAGAGGGACAGTGAAAGCAGCAAAAGCGTTGCGAAGCGTTTGGCCATGGATTCTGCAGCTGATTTTTGCGATTCGACTTTTCAAGACATTTGATGTCGCTCGATGCCTCGACTCAATAGCTGGCCCATACCCGGCAGGAGTAGCAGGTGGTGCGTGAGTTTGCCCGCCATGAAACGTGCATGCTGCTTTGGGTTCAAAGGGAGCAACCCACTCGGTGGGCGCGGCGTGTCGTCGTCGAGGCGGCCATCGTCATCATGATCATGATCATAGTGATGACCACAATCATCATCAATGAGATTATGATTATAGTGGTCATTGTAAGCTTGCCACGTTTGAACCGCTTGAACATGTGGCTGATCCTGACCGCCTATGAAGCCGGGCTTTGGGTTTACAGTAGGCTTGCTGGAGACTTTGGTATGGCAAGGCTCCGGGCAAAGGTTTAGGATTCCAAGGATCACTTTGTCGAGACAAATTGCCAGGATTCCAGAAACTGTGCAAGGACTGCGTGTGGAACGCAGCTGAGCAAGATGTGCCTTGCATGAACCAAGGCCTTGTCCTGAAGCAAAAGCCTCGAACGTGCAAAACCCGACCAGGCTTGGCAGATCCGCCGCCTTGTGGGTCTTTGATCCACTATGCCAAAGAAGCACGTAATCGACGTAATCGAAGCTGAGCGGCAGTAGGTCCTCAACGCTTTCCTCCTTCCTGCCGACTGCACAACATTGGAACATGGCCAAAAACAAGCCGGCAACGGCACATCAATGCATGGCATACCCTCTACATCTCACGAGCGCTGAGGATATGATTGCCCGTAGGGCAAGCTTGCGCAGGTTTCAAGGCTTTGAGGGCAGCTTTCAAGTCATAGCCGCCTGGGAACGGCCGATGGTGTGTCCTGATTCTTCTAGGCCATACAGCGAATAAACATCGACCCCTTGACCACCGGTGCACTCGGCTGTGCACCTAGGAAAGTCGCATCCCAAACAGTCTTCCCGAATTAAACAAGCTCGAAAACCCTGAACTGACTCCACCCAAACCTTCCCCACAACTCCACAACGTCCGAGGTGCTTTACTGCCGCACCGAGACCGAGGAAGCTGCTACTCCGTGCCAGGGTCCCGGAGGATCTGTCAAAGGGGTCACACGCGGTATAGCTACTTCTTTTGCGGGGCGCGGCTGCTTTCTTTTAAGAGGCACTTCCCTTAAGACGTGCGTGTCATGCTGTTCTCTATAGCGGTGCTTCTCTTCAGAGGCCTTGGCCGCAGGCCCAGTGTGCCATTCATCGTGATGCTGGCCTCCAGGGCTCCAAAATTGCACCGAAAAAGGCAGAGGAACTTGGAAACTGAGTAGGACTTTGGGGCACGCTCCTAGTTAGACCGGCGGCTCGACTACCGCGGCGGCATTCTGTAGCCTTTTGATGAGGGGCCTTGGCCGAGCGATCCAGTAGGCCCCGGCGAAGCGAAGGATTGGGCGCTGCCGCAGCGTCCCCGTTGCTTCGGTCGCCACCTCGGCACACCTGGCATGACAGGCAGCGGTTGCCTTTTTTTTTGCAAGGTCTCTGTGATTTGTGCGGATGCCCATGCTGCACAAAGTTGCATTTTTTGGTGAAGAAGTAAGCAGACTCCCCCCCCCCCCCAGTCTTTATCACGTAAAGGCAAAGGCTGTGTGCCTGGGCCAGCATCTGCAGATACCGCTCCTGCGCTCACCGCTGAAAATTTAAACGGGCTCCGGGCTCAGGGTCTATCCAAGGCAATGGACGACGACAAGGCATGCTGCTGGCGCATGTTCTGCAAAACCATGTGCTTCCAAAGGGAGGCTCGCCTCTATATGAGGCTCTCACACCAAGCCCCCATTACACGTTTGAAATACTTCTTTCTTGCTTTCTTGGATGCATGAGGGTGTGGGGCCCCCGCGCCGTCCGTTGATAATCTCTCTCTCACTCCATCTCTCACTCCATCTCTCACTCCATCTCTCTCTCCATCTCTCTCTCTCTCTCTCTCTCTCTCTCTCTCTCTCTCTCACAGACTCTACACCACTCCCCGCGGGGTCCATCGAAGCCCGCCGCTTCTCTTCCTCAGGCGACACGTGAGAGATGAGGCAATTACAGGTATCCAAGGGATGAGGGATTAAGGGAACAACTCGATGTGGACATGACATGTCACATGTCTGCTTGCGGCACCTTTCTACCGTAGTTGAAACGATGAAAGGTTGCTGACATGAAGCTTCAGGTTTACGAACCACCACACTGTTCCAAGCGTCTGTGCCGTGCACGTTCACTGCCCGCCACCGGCGCGTGGTCTGTGTGTTCAAGAAGCGGGTGCACTGCCTGAGTCATTTGGTAGCCAACAGCGAAAGCTCGAAGGTTTTCTGTCCGGGACCTCCTGTCTCCTTTCCGGCTGCACAGCGCGGGAGTGCACTTCGACATCTCAGACCGTGAGCCCTCTTTGAATAACCGACTGACCAACCGACATGGCAAACATGGCAAAGGTGGCCAGTTTGACCACAGATGCTGCCAGGACGCCAGATGTAGATGAAAAAGACCTGTTCCACTCTTTCTCTCAGACATTTTTTTTTGGCACCCACGTAGCTGGGCTCAGACGATTTGGGTTGGGGGCTTCTGTGCTCGGACACAACTGCTGAGACTTCGAGATTCCAGTCTTCTCGTCTTCAAATCCAAGGAACGCAAGCGCTCTGGAGAAGAAGCTAAGAACGCAGCGAAACCCCATTGCCGGCCGAAGGGCCGTCTCAGCTAAACTCCACGAGATCAACCCATACTTGACGAGGATGCGTGGATGAAAATGATGAGGGCTGATGTTCCTTGGTCGTCGAACAGTGCACCGCTGACTTTTGGACTTGAGCAACGGCTCACTTTGGCAACATGCGCCTGAATAGGATACAACGGTCCCAATCCAAGGTTCATCCAGATGTTTCGGAACCTTGCTGCGCAGTGCCATAGGGAATGGGACAGGATCGAACGTTCGCGTATGACAGTCTTGTGTCATTCACCTGGAGCAGCGCCTCTCGTGGGGAGAGGGGGGAGAGGGGTGCGGGGGAGCTGTGATAAAGATTCTCTGCCAGGCAGCACGATGAACATGGCCATTGGCGCGGTCCCGCGCAAGCCGAGGATGAGGCCTCGGAGCTCAGGAGCTCAGGGCCTGGGCCCTTCAGGGATTCAAATATTCTCTTTGCTCATTGTTTTTGGCTGAAAGAGAGAATAAATTCACTGGTGCCAAGCCTCCGAATCATGCCTGCAACACCATTCCTTCAGAACCTTGTGCTACGAAGGAAAATGTCACGATCCAGCTGCTTCCCAACCCTAAGGCCACGCCACTTCCACGCTGCTCTTAGTCCGACTATACTTACTATGAAATTTGGGTGGGAGCAGGGGGTAATGAGGGGTATGGGAATATCATTCTGGATGCCTGCTATGTAAAAGCTGAACATGGAAAGAGGATCTCCGGAAATGCCCAAGCTGAAGCCCTAATCGAAGTCCCGAAACCCTTTGGCTGGACTCCCAGTGCTGGCAAGGGTGCCTTCTACAAAACCTCGCCGCAGCCGGCTCTCACGAGACAGGACCTGTCACTGGCTGTGGAATACGTGGCTTACATAAAAAGCCCCGTGACTTGCTGTGAGCCCTTTTCAACGGCTTTTCCTGTGCCTGCAGGTCCTTCATAAGATACCACATCTATACAACGTCAGCACAGTCACCACAGCCCAGCTCCCTCCAAGGCACGGCAATTGCCGAGAGTACAGCAGCAATGATCGCAGAGCGGCGCCGGACAGTTGCCATGCTGGCCTGTGGCGATTATGCTGCTGGGCTTCGGTTCCAGGTTTCGTGTTCCTCAAGTGAAAGAGTCCTTGTCAGTGGAACCCCAAAGAACCTTGCCTCCTGCTGTGGGCAACTTATCTCATGTGCCGTCAAAGTTCGTTCATCATGCTTTTGAGGCGAGTCCTCCCTCGGCCTAGAGGACGAGGATGATCATCAATTAGCTTCGAAGAGTCACTGTACAAGCACCGTGTGGAAGATTTATCTGTCATGTTGGTGGCAAGTCACGCTGCCAGATCCTCTCATTGCTTCCCAGCCCAATGATGTATGGCAGTGGCAGCGGGGCTTCTCCCGATGGCTCTGTGGAACTTTGCTTGGTCCCTTCGTTTGGCGTCTGAAACTGGCCATCGTTGCACAGCTGCCGGGTGTGTTGTTAGCAACGCTTAGTGCGCCTGCTCTGATCTCACAGCTTGAAAAAAGCCAGTGATTCAGAAAGGTTGATGTTGGCGAGCTACAAAGGCTAAGGCGCCATGATGTGCTGATTTGTTGGTCTGGTGCCTGAGACTGCGGGCAACTACCACACAGAACAAGGCCACCACCGTCATTTCTTTCGCAATGGTACTAACTCCTTGCAAAAGATTGGTAGAGGTACACTATGGCCCATGGCTATGCAATCTCTCTCTTCTCTCTCTCTCTCTCTCTCTCTCTCTCTCTCTCTCTCTCTCTCTCTCTCTCTCTCTCTCTCTCTCTCAGTCTCTCTCTCCCCCACGCATGACCCCCCCGAAAGGAGGCCGCCCCCAGGGGCGCGTGCTGTCTCGGGTTCGTTGGAATGGCTTTCCCTCCCGTATTGAGAGGTCGCCTGGCTCATTGGCCCCTCCCTCCCGCACGCATGTCCCGCATGGCCCCCCCCGAAGGAGAGGCCGCCCCTAGGGGCGCGCGATGTCCAAGGTCTCGCGATCCCCATCTTGTTGACGGGGCAAAGAAGAAGCTGAATGGCCGAAAGGGTAAAAACATGCACCTGGGGGACGCTGTTGGTTTTTCCCCCCAGGGTGCCTATCTTGGTGTCGGATCGAAAGCGCCGCCCTCGATTGAACCCTTGGCCATGGTTAAAAGTAAGAAAGGTCGTTGTTTGTCCACGGTGCCTAACACAATCCCCTGCAGTGCGGCAGCGGGTTGGAAAAGAATGCGGTTCCCCCTTTGCAGTTTGGCAATGGGGTTACGGTAAATGTGTTTCCTATCTCAAGTTACACTGTTGCATGTTGGAAGGCTTTGCCCCCTTAGGTCACTTATCCCTTGCCCATCAGTTGTGGAGGTTGTTGTCGTAGTCCCATCTTAGTCGACGCTGGAGTTTGCCAGGCGTGCCACCTTCTCCCCCAGCTTTTCTTGACGTCTGCCCTGGTCGCCCCCGGTCTTCTTCTTGCGTGGAAGAGGTGGTCTGTCATGTGCTGGGGGTCTCGACGGGGCCGATGGTGTTGCACATGGTCCCCTTCTTGGTGTCCTTGAGCGGCGGGTTTTTGGTGCAGCCACAAGCTTGGCTGTCATCTTCTCCCCAGTTTTGGCTTGGGGCTGGTAGGAGGCCGATGGTCTTTCACATGGTCCTCTGTTGTCTCGCCCCCCATCTCGTGAAGTCGCCCTTGTCGGTGTCGATGTTCCCTTTGCTCCTTTTTTGGCTTGGGGGTTTGTTGAGGCCGATGGTCTTTCACATGGTCCTCTGCTGTCTTGCCCCCTTGCCTGCGAAGCGGTCCTTGTGGGTTTTGCTCCAGCTGGGAAATCTCGTCTTTGTCGTTGTTGGTGATGGAGCGTTTCCCACGTGGTGGTCGAAGGGACAATGTGGTGTAGTGCGGTGGTTCGCAATCTTTTCCAGGGCGATGTGGAGGTTGTCTGTGGCATCGCGGGTCGTAGTCCAGGTCGGCTGGTTGGTGGGGCTCCCCCCACTTCGGCCTTGTTCTCCTCCATGTCTACCTGGACTTCTTCATATTCTTCTTCGCCTTCGTCTTCTTTGTTTTGGCCTTCATGTTTTCCCCCCTCTTCAGCTCCGTCTTGGCCTTGTCGTGGTCCTGGCGGTGGTAGTTCCGGGAGTTCTCCTTCTCGCGGTGGTGTTTTTTCTTCTCGTCCCGGTTGATTTGTATTGGCCCCTCTGTCTCTCTGTCTCTCTGTCTCTCCCTCTCTGCCGTGCCATCCGAGGCTCACTGGGGCTACTACTTTATGTTTACTTGTCGCCCACAGATGCGCACGACGTCAGGCAGCTGCGCAAGACTATGATATCTCGACCACGGAGATTTTCGGCAATTCCTCGGTACAGACTGGCGGAGCAATGCATCCGGACGTCTCGGAGCAGAAACTCGGACACTTTTTCGTGGACCAGATGCGAGCTCGAGTGAAACGTACTGTTTCTTGGCCCATGTGACTTCACCAAGCTCCTTGCCACCTGTGGTACCTTGGAAAGTAAGCTGCCTGATCCCCAAACTTGCCAGTGGGGAGCCTTCCCATGGCTCATGTATCCCCTACAAGGCTTTATCATGGTAACCCCTATAGACTTGCATGTACTTGTTGATGATCTTGGCCGACAGTAAAGCGGCGCAAATATTGTAACAATGCCGCAACTCATGCATTTAGCTCCATCATTCGAAGCAATGATTGTCACCTGTTTTCTTCATGTCAAGAAATTGTAACACTCAACACGCGACGAAGAACAACAGGAAAGTGTGCTTACAAGAACAGGAAAACGAGGCTTTGCAAAGCAATGCAGTGAGTGTTCAACATTACTCAACCTCAACAGAGTGGCCCTTTGCTTTCATCAGGTTCGGGAACAAGACATAAACGAGCTTCTTCTGGACTTTGCGCACTTCCAGCGAAACCTCTCTTTGCTTCTGCTTAGTTGCAGAATCTGGCTGATAACCTAGGGATGATGACTCGCCCTGTTAGCAAAAGTGGCTTCTGGCTGAGTAGAAAACAAGCGGTAGCCCACGGTGAAGTGATAAGAGATAGTCGAGCGATAGTGCTGTTAAAGAACAAGCAGTTGGTCAAGGGGGATGCTCATCGTGCCTCATTTCTCAAACCATTGTTTTGGGCAACCATTGCTGAAATGTATTTGTTCTATGAAAGGCTGCAATGGCAACGCAAAAAGTCATTGACCGGGACATAAACTACGTCGTTACTATGAGGCATCTGTTGGGATTCCTCAATGTATCAGCTTTCGTTGCCTTGGTTAACGGCTAACTAACACGTAACTTGTGCCACTGTTGGCATCAAGAAGCGCATGACCGCAACCCATACGCCTTTGTCTTACTGGCGCGCTTGATGCCTGTGAAAGCAAAGGAAACTAGTCAGATTGCAGTTGCATCCTTACTTTTCCTGAGATACGAAGGCTAGAAACAACAACAAAACGCATTCAAGTCACCTGGTTCGTGGCGCAAGGACAGAAGAAAAGGCAGGGGGACTTGGTGCTGTCAGTCACAGGCTTGGCGGGGCTCATCTCAGCTGTGAAAGAGCGCCCTTGCAAACTGCTCCCGTACCTTCATGCACAAAGCACTCAGCATGGCTCCAATGCGGTCTGTCTGCCTAGGCCCTCGGTACTTGGGCTCGTGCATCCCTGAACTCGAATTCATTGCTTTCTTATGCTTTCTTAGTCCTCGAAACCCTAAACCCAAGCTTGTGGTGGATACCTTGGCACGTACAGGACGGCGAGGGGGCCACCTCCTCGGACAAACAGCCAACATGCACCCAGCATTTCATGTGGAGAGGTGCGGTTGAAGTAAGCAGAACGAAAGAAATGTGCAAAGGGGGGCACAAAACACTATACTAGAATTCCGGGTTAAGCCCATGAGCTGCACGTCAGCAATGCTTGAGTTCGTATGAATCCGACAAACATGTCTGCTGTCACCCTAAACACATACCCTCAACGTATATCCTGAGTGCCGAAATCCTACACTTCGTTGTTTCCGGTTTGAGACATCCAGGTCTAGAGTATATGCTTGGATCGCAACGTAGAAGACTGGAGGTCTAACTCCACATGCTCCAAATACTCCAACGATCTGCCCTCGGACTCTCCTCGTCACACCTTCCGGCCACGGAGCGCTGTCGACCTCTCAACAATTTCAACAATCTCTTCCCTTTTTAATTTAAAGGCTTACCACACTTGACACTTCCATGGAGGATCCGGCGGGTATTTGTAGAAACTTGGAAGGCTCAGCCTCCATTCTCTGGAAAGGGCTCTCTCAAGAACTGTTAACGCACCTGCATTTGAGCATATGACCTGACCGAGCATTGAACTTACTACGACTGCCTTTTTGCGAATCAAATTTTCAGACAAGTGATCCTAAATCCAGGCTAACTCGTTTGTCAGTACTGGTGTTCAATCCTGAAGTGTCCATGCAAGACTCGTAGCGTCACGGCATCTCAGCAGCGCTTCAAGGCTCGGCATGTGCGACGCATGTCGAGGGCTGGTTATAACTGCGCAGCCGGAGGCCGGGGACCTTTGTCGGTCTACGACGTGGAACACCCTGCGATCTCAAGTTGCCCCTTGTGGTGCCTCACTGAACTTCACTGGCCGTCGCGGGGGTGTGGCACTGGTCACGCCCTCCGGTACTCGGCAAATTCGCACCTGACATGTGTGAAAGCTTCAGGCTACTTGGGCTCTTAGAATTAGGAATCCGGCAAATGATTCAAACGATGGTCGGGTAAACAGGGCTCTCTCTCTCTCTCTGCCTCTCTCTTCGTACGGCTTAAGATATGCTTTGTAATTCACATGCGTGCACGTGCGCCGCCTCCTCCGTCGAGGCATTGGACACCTCATCGGAGCTTTGCGATGAAGACGAGCCCTGCAGGAGAAGTGTCGCTTGGACTCTGATTCGAGCAAAGCTCCTTTCAAAATGGGGGACTTTGAGGGCGGCTTGAAGTCCGCAGCCGCTCCTGTGAGGCGCGCTCAGGGAATTTTGCTACGTTACGGCTGATGTCTTTCCTTTTGAAAACCCAACAAAGCACCTCGCTTTCAATGCCAAGGGCCCACCTCCATCGTGGCCCCAGGTAAGGTGCGCAGCGCGCGCCGCGCAGTGCAGGAGGCTGGAGAGGTTGGGCTCGGGCAGCTCTCCTGTGCCCGGAATGCAGCACGCATGAACGGAAGCCGACAAGGCACCACTTACCTTCCGACCCGAAAAACCGCCGAGAAAATGCACGCTAGAACTACAACAGAAATACACAAGGTTCATACTCCCAGTCCTCCTGAGTCGCGCGGGTCGCTCGTGGATGTCGCGGGCTCGCCGAAATCCAGGAGAAAGCAATGTCCTGCGCTAAGTTTGGGAAACTAGCCAGAGAGCTCAGCAATGACCGTTTGACATCTTTGGGGTGGCCTGACATGGAGTTGCTTCAGGGTTTGTGCTGAGAAGTAGCGCTGCTTGTAACCTCCAACACGGGACCAGTTACGTTAGCCGTCCGTGTCGGCTGCCGAATGGCTCGGGCTCATGGACGGGGAGGAGCTGCTTGAGGGCGTCGGGGACCTGCGGACTGGAAGTAGTCAACATGAACTGATTCTTACCCAGTACTGGATTACTCAGAAGTCGTAAAGTTCCCAGCCGGGGCGACATCAGGAGTTTCGCAGCAAAGGACTCTACTTTTTTTTTGCTCTGGCCCCATGAACGCCAGGCACAAACAACAGACAACTACACGGAGCTGTATGTATCATGTCGGAACCTTGCAACTTTCATATAGAGATTAAAATTCGATCTTAATCCAAAGTTAAAATCGAATTCCAGCCATGTTCCCCTGCCCGGCATCCTTAACTTGGCACACCTTGCCGACCCACGTGGCGGTGAGCGCCAGGCACAGCGCAGTGGGGGCAGCGAGTCGAAAAGCTCCATCCAGACGGGTAAATGGTGAGGCTGAGTGTAGCTTTCAGAGCGTAGGTCACTGCAAAGTGCTTGTTGGGGCTAGCTGCTAGCTGCTGGCTCATGCATTCTTTTACCTTTCTACGGCAAGGCCCGAGTTGAGGCAACATGTGGCTAATTGAGGGTCAGTCGAGGCTGGGCCAAGCGATTCCAGTGCGAAGTACTGTAACCTTGAACCGCCAAGCATGTCTCAGTCTTTGTTCCTGAATGGCCACGGAGGAGTTTGAGCTGGCAGCCTGCACATGTTTTCTGCAATAATCTGACGGCCTACGGTATCATGCAACATCAGCCCTGAGCTGTGGCGTGCCCTGCCCCCAGTTTATGTATTGGTTCTCGGGTCATTGTAGCTCTACATTCTACTTCAGGACTGGCCCCGTTCCTGTGGTGTTGCTCTCAACGCCCCGTCATGCCTGTTGAATACTTCAAGCCTTCTCGACGCAAGTGGCACCAACAACATGCAGGGGTCACTTCAGTCGGAGGCATGGGTGCTTCCACTTCAAGTCCTGCCAAGGAGGCTTATCGACGTAAAGCAAAGTTCTGGTTGCTTCGGGCATAAAGCCCCTCAAAGGGAAAGTCCCCCCCTTAGATCTCCTGACTTTAAGGTTGGGTGTCGGGGGGCAATGCTAGGCCCGACTCCATGTATCAATCCCCCCCCCCCCCACCTTTTTCAACAATCAAAACACTATCAAGAACTCGGAGACTCGAATTGAACTGCGAAAGTGTTGCGTCCTCGAAAGGGTACTGCGTCTTGACAGCTTCAATCTCTCGAGCAAACTTCTGGGTCAACCCTGGCCGGAGTGATTGGGCCCGTTGCTGGAAATCCTTGCGTCCCTTGCAGATGGCGGCACAAAGCTTCTTCATGAAAGGGACTTCTGGCCAATGCCAGGTGCACACTGACGCCGATGACATGGAGCAGCGCGCAGCCTTGAAAAATGTGGTTGAAAAGGCCGTCGAGAACGTCCAGGACCTGCAGGACCGTTATGGAGTTATGGACAGTTGCAGCACACGTTCTCGTCCGAAGCATGGAAATTAAGTTGAAAATGGCTTTGAAAGCCCAGTGGATCCCAGCGGCAAGCACGTTGGAGTTGGATTGAGAAATCCTGTATGGGCCTCATGGTAGTGGTCTTTGAACGTCATCTCAAGATCCAGGCCGGTGAACTCGGTCATATGCCTGTCTTGAAGCGCTTTCGCTTGACAAGGGTGAGCGGCCTCAAAGATAGGATTGGCCCCAGAAGACACTGGCATGCGAAAACAAGGCTGTGACATGCTCTGACATACTCTTGCATGTTGCTTTTGCTGCAAGATGCCAGCGCGGAGGAGCCCCGCGCTGCTGGAAGCCAAGCAACAGCCAGCAACCCAAAAGCCTGCGCCTTGGCGCCGAAATCATCCCCAAAAAAGCCCCCCCCCCCGAACGTCGGCCTGTGCGTGAAGGACTTCTCCGACCGAAAGATCGGACCGACCTCGAAGACGCGGGGCCTCACAGAACATGGCAATTGTAAGAGGAAGGGCTTGCGGATGCTGTTTTTGCTTTTTTTTGTGGGGAGGGGGTGGAGGGTGGAGGGGGGGAGGGGGTGAGGGGGGGAGGGGGTGAGGGGGGTGGAGGGGGTGGAGGGGGGTGGAGGGGGGTGGAGGGGGGTGGAGGGGGTGGAGGGGGGTGGAGGGGGGTGGGGGGGGGGTGGGGGGGGGTGGGTGGCTGGTACATGCAGCGAAGACAGGCCATCAGATTGAAGCCATGGCAAAGCACAAGCAAACAGCACCACCAGCAAAATTAGGCCAGTGCAGGAACGAATAGTAGCAATGGCATGAATTGCATGGCCTGTTGTTGAGTATTTTGAGGGTTCAAAGCTTTTGCTCATCTGTGCCCATGTACTTCTAGACTGGTGGCCTTCAATGCATGGTTCTGCGACACAGTCAAGGCCGCCGTACAGGGTGTGTGCGTGTAGGCCCCGGCCAAGGTTTTCACGCACGAGTGCATCGAGCATCGTTACGGTACAGGCTGCGGAGCAAGCAGTTTTAAAGAAGTTGAAGCGCCGGGCTCAGTGGAAAAGAGTGTCGCCAGGCGCCACGAATCGACAATATCTGCTTTACATGAATGACAGGCCATAGCTCCGTCACGGGAACGGCAAAGAACATCTAGAAACGGCTCCAAAGTAACCGTTTTCGCGGCTGCTGAGAGCGGGTCTTTCTTCTCAGGCCTGCAACATATCGTAGGAACATGATTCTGCGCAACATTCATAGGAACGTGATTCTGCATCTCGTGGCCGTGGCCTAGGGCCTAGATCGCCATGATTGTTTCTGGCACATGTTCGAATGATTCTCGGCACATGGGGCACGAGATGTGCTTATCCGACGTGAAGCACCAGCGAGCGATGCAGTCCGGATGGTAGACATGCCCGCATGGAAGAACAGCTATATCTGCATCCATGTGGTAGTCACCCAAGCAGCATGCGCACGTGTTTGACGTATTCGGACAAGAGATGCCCGCTGATAGCCTGCGATCGAGTGTTGACACAAGGCTCCACGATGCTTGGCTCTTGTCAACCTTGTCGTTTGTGATGCAAACGATGCTAAATGTCGGGCGCGTGAAAGCTGATGCTTCCAGTTCTCGGAACTTGCAAGCTGCCCAAACGCAATGACACTCCTTCTCCACGACCTTGCTGACAGCTGCCTCATTCGATGCGGTCTTGCGGTACGCCACGATGAACAAGAGCAAGAACATGACCACTGACAGTGATCCACACACCACTCCCAGCCAGAAGTTCGAGCCCTTCACCAACCATACCATCACACTGAGCAATGACAGAACAAGGAGGATGATCGACCAAACCACCGCTCTCGCGTTGTCACATTGATTCGACGTGGTCATTCCCCAGAAGTCCGGCGCGAAAGATCTACGCCTCTGCGACGCCTCTGCGCTCTCTGGACTGTCCACTACTGTACCCACTGACTGTACCTTCCAGTTCCAAAGAACAGGAGCTTTTTGTTAGTTTTTTTTGTGATTTCTTCACGGATGCCAATGTGCTGTTGTTGCTGTATCCTCCTGCTGCGTGTGAAACGGAAGACTCTTGGAGCATGAAGAGCATCGACCCTGGAGCCAAAGTCTCGGCAGGCGCACATCAACATGGTATCAAGATTTTAAACAATCATGTCCCAAGAAGTGAAGAAGCACATTGAGGCCGAGCTGCATGTCCGTCATCAAAGCCATTTGCTTGTAAAGCTGCGGCGACTGGGCCAGGAAGGCGTCGCCCTCCAACCAAGGGGAGAGTCAAGGGGTCCGAGGCTCACAGTGCACTCAAAGGCAATTGCCATATGGCAATTGCCCCAAAAGGCCCCGGAATCACGACTCCCAGGCGTGGTTTAAGGGTGCAACATCCGACGCAAATTGCTAGGAGTGGCCGCCCCTGCCCCAAGAGCGACACAAGGGAATGAAGCAAGCTCGAGGGAGCGTCGTTCACACATTCACGCTCGAATCTCCTAAGCGTTTCTTGCTCGCGCGCATGCTGACCTGCTGTTTGCATCAAGTCGCGAACCTCTGTGAACCTCTGTGCTCATGATGGTTGACCGGCGGCCCGAACAGCCGCTGAGCACTCTAGTGGAATCAACTCACCCGGCCTCAAAATAATCTACGCGGAAGACGTCGGCCTTGACTGCATCAGTGTTTGGTTGCGGTAACTTTGAGTTGTGTCGCAGCAAAGCAACTCTCCAACATCTGGTGCTGTAAAATGCTCAAGACTTGCACAGGCGACATATGCTTTGTCATCAAGCAGAACACCCAATGTGGAACTGTATCTGCACTCATTGGCACTGGTGAGAGTGATTTGTTTCATATTTGTTTCGTCGACATTCCTAGAACGCCAAAGTAGCGTGAGCACAACTCTGCCGGCAGAATGCCGTGCAGTCCTCACGTGACTGCGGCTCATGCCGCGTAGCTGCTGTCCCAGAATGCTTCCAGCAACAGGAACTGGTTCTCATGACACTGACCATCGTTGCGGTTGTCGTTCAGATGCCGAGCCCAGCATGTGGGACACAGCGATGGCCCCATCTCTGCGGGCGACTCGGACGGGCCTCCAAGCTGCCAGCGCGGTTTTCGAAATTGTAAGGATTTATAAGGTCTGTAGGTACTGAGTTGAATGATTGCCCGCTTCCAAAGAAAAAACCAAGCCAGCACCACCACCAAACCTAGACATACCTTCGCAAAGTTGCTGCGGGTGTCGGTGTAGGGCTTCAACACGATCGCTCTTCCGAAACGGCAGCACAAACATCTTGGGCAAAGAGCTTAGCTTCAGCACTTCTCGGAGTCTGGCCTCACAGCAGACACTCTACTGAAGGCCATTCCTCCTCCTTCTGGGTTTCTTTTTGTAACCTTAGACAAGCAGGTCTCCATTGCAGCCCCCCCCCCCCCCCCGAGCACGGATTCTAACTTGTCTTCGTCGTTGTTATCCTAAGCTTGCTACTTCGTTGTTATCCTAACTTTGTTACACCTTTTTCTCAGTCGTGATGTTTGAGTCGGGCTGCGGCTCCGATCTTTGGAGTGGCCAGGAGGCTCCGGCTCGCGCTGCCTAGCAAGCTTTTCAGGGATGCGAGGGACTCGCGTTCTTCTCTCCAGATCTTGAGTCGAGTCGCCGAGGCGAGGAGTGAACGGGGTCTCTCATTGCTCGTTTCGCCATCTGTTGCCGGTGAATGCTGGAGTCGGGGTGGAGGTCTGTGTTTGGAGTCATTGTAAAGGACAGAATCAAGCGATGATTCTTATCAGGGCTCTTCCCAAGGCTCGTACAACGGAAACTGCTCCACGCGCCGATCATCAACACTGTCTGTGCTTCTCTGAGACGGTTTCTCGTCATAGCGATCTTTGAGATGAAAGACCCAACCCTCCGAGCCTCTTTGCCTTGATCTTGGCCTGAGATGCTTCTACCGAGGTTTGTGTGAACAGGGATCTCCATGCATCCACAACACCATAAACACACATACGTACACAAACATACACGTCTACATCTGCATCTATCTATCATGCATCTAACATACATGTCAATGTTTGTATTTCTATTCAGTGAGCTCAAGACACATTAGCGTCGAGAAACTCTGCTGATCCTGGCTGAAAATCGGCCAATCGGCCATTTTCTGGATGCATGCAGGGCAAACGTGGCATTTCGGGTTTGGGAAAACGTATGCAAGCATAGATCTCGAGCTGTTTTGGGCACGCCCGGATTTGCGAGAAAATGACACAGACTCCTCATTTGTGGAAGCGCTGTCACCTAAGGATGCTGCATCCACCCTTAACTAGGACTCACAATGACGATTCCTGAGTGTTGAATTATAATTGGCCCACATCTCCATGCGTGGCCTTCTCCGAGTTCTCCGCCGCCGCCTTTGCACGACCAGAGACACGGGTCCTTGATTCGGTCAATACCAAGACATGGTCGGGTCCCTTACCCAAACACCTCGTAAACTCGAAATCTTTGCCTACTTGGCTGCTCTCAGCTGAAGCCTGAATTTGGCCCTGAAGCCTAAATTGGGCCCTTGAAGCCGAAATTCGGCCCCGAAGACGAAATTCGTCTTCAGGAGCGGAATTTCGGCTTCAAGGGCCGAATTTCGTCTTCAGCGGCCGAATTTCGTCTTCGGGGCCGAATTTCGTCTTCGGGGCAGAATTTCGGCTTCAAGGGCCCAATTTAGGCTTCAGGGGCCGAATTTCGTCTTCAGGGCCTAAAGGACGTACAGCATAGTATTCGCTCATGCGTGTTAAGCCCTAGCAGATGCTGCACACAGCTGACGATTTGCGACATCGGTGTCTACAGGCTGCCCGTGCGCTGACCCGGCCCTTAATTTATGATCCAAGAATCCGCCACGTCTCCCGGCGCTTTCGGCTGTCTGCGAAGGAGCTGGTCTTCCTGCGAAAGAGATCGCTCCATGCCCAAGGCCCAAGGACTCCCAAGGACTTCGAGGGTTAGCTTAGAACAGTAAAGGCCGGAGCATGCTCAGTCCAAAGCCCGCAGGCCCTACATGCTGAGCTGGCATGAAACCGTGGCGGCAGAATTCAGCCATCTGCATGGGTGAGCCTTTGTACTTGGACTTGCACAATGTCCCTCAATGCTTGAGGATTGGCCTAGTGTAGATATTGGAGCCACACCCGAACTGTCGGTAAGCAACAGTGGTGCATTACTCAAATTCTGCCTCTTCTTGGAACGCCTCGGAGCGCTGGTGAAGCTGCCCAAGTCGAAAACCTGGGATGTAAATAGCGCCGACAGGAATGCATTGTGGGGCCCTGAGTGCGACCTTCAGATACCACCAAAATGCGTTGCAAGTCGTTAGAGGCTCCGAGCGGCGTCGTCCTCGAGCGTTTCCTCGGCTTGATGGATGATACCATCGGATACGGACCGGCAAACTCAAGGCTTGGGTTTCTCAAGTTGTCTCAAGTTCTTGGGACAGACATGTGAACCGCCTCTGGCCTGGGCAAATCAGACAGAGAGAGAGAGAGGGAGAGAGCGAGAGAGAGGAAAGAAACAAACGCATGCCCCTGCTGCTACTTGAGAAGGAGTGCGTGAAGCAGGTAGTGTGGGAATAAGTGCTCAATCTTTCTACTGCTTCAGGAAGATCTGCAACTTGCGAGGCCAGAGGAGAGCAGCTGAGCTACAACAAAGACGCCGGTTGCCAAGAGGCATACTCACCAAAGGGCGCTTCCGTCTGTGTGGGAAAATCGGGTTCCTCCTCGTTCGCATGACTGCGAGTCGTGGCCATTCCAAGAAAAACGGGAACTCTGACAGGAGCTGGTCTTCGCCCGGCAGCTAAGACATCAACAAACAAGGGGCATCGAAGTAAGACTTCTAAGACTTCCCTTTTTGAGGTTCGCCTCGGCACAGGTCGCTACGCACCCAGCGTCCTGATCAGCACTCAGGGGCTTGATGCCTGCAACCATAGCCTCGCAGCAAGCAGCAGTTGCTGGTGATTGATTGCTGACAACTCTCTATGAAGCTTTATTTAAGCAGCAGTTGTATAGAGACTCATAAGGATGTGACCCATCAGAACAGGAGGTAAGTCCGGAGTGCCGAAGCAAGATCAAGCAACTAGCCACATCACCATGTCTCCACTAGAGGCTGGCAGAGCGATCGACCATTTAGGCATCAACTACCTCAAGGGCCTTTCAAACCACATTGCGATTTCGACATGTCCCCTAGACGACATGAACTTTTTGCGCACCGTGTAGCCCGCCACTGACGCCGACCCTCCACGGTCGAGAGCTCCTGAAGCAGAGGGGGGCGCTATCACACATAGGCGTATCTCTCCCCGAGCCAACTCCCATGAAGACCATGCACGTGAAGGCATGTCGTCGAGTCGTCGAGCCTAGGGTCGAGGAAGAGGCTCCCTCGAAACGTCATGCCGCGGCCACCCAGAACCCAGCAGTGCTTGGGAATCGCTCGACACGACACGTGCAGGTGCTTTCAGCATATTCGTGCAAGCTGCTTGTGTCCCAGGATGCAGTACGTGTAAATACACAACCGGCCAGACCTGTTCATCTTTTGGCACTTGGATAAGACAGGATTTGCTCTTGCACTTGGATGAGAAAGGATTTGCTCCTCAGTCGATGCAACAGAGCGGTTCAAGCAAACATCAAGTCATCGAGTCGTCCCTGAAAAGAGACCCACGCGACAGGACATGCAGTCCCTTCTGTCTTTTGGGGCGTTCAGGACTGCATGTCCTGTCGCGTGGGTCAGTATAACCACAACCGTGCCTCGGCCGCCCAGGAGATGCGACGGAAGCGGCGCTCGTCGCCAGTATCGGGCACGTCTGGGTGGTAGATCTCGTGCAGACTTGTCGCCAAGCCAATACACACCACGGAATGGAAACAGTTTGGGAATTGGACTAGGCCAGGGCTGACGGTTCTAAGGCTTTCTTCGTGTTCTTGTTCTTCATACCACACCCACGCCGCAACCCAACCGGGGTCTTTGCAGACCCGTGGAGGACATGTGTCGAAGACGGAGGTTGTTGAGAGGATCTACTTGCTGCCGTTCCCTGAGCCTTTCGAAGCAACCTTCCACGTCTTTTGTGTCGTGAAGCCCAGAAGCTCCTGAAGCACTGCCCCTTGAAAATCCGTGAGGCCCCAAAAAGCTTCTTTTTTCTATGGCCTAACTCAAGGCCCATGGCCCAATCTATTGCGTAGTGTATTTCCCTTCTGGACGAGTCCTTCACGTTGAGAGATCCCGCGCTTGTCAAGTCCCCCTCTCAACAAGAGCGCTTCTCCACGAAGCCCGATCCCAGAACCGTTTAGGTTTGGGGTTGATATCAGGGGTGCTTCACATCGTATGCTTTGGCGATGGTGTGCTGGATACCAGGGCTTCTGCATGCCTACAGCTTTGGATCCGACGCCCTCAATCACTGCACTCCCCCCCTGCATGGCCCCCATGTATGACCCGTTAAACGGCTGAATTACAATGTGATATATATATATATATAAATATACATACACATAAATAAACAAATTTGTACATATGTATATATATATATATAAACTAACAAGCGTCCGGCTTTCGGGTAGACCCTCTGTCTGGACCTTGGCCAAACGGCGGAAGGCAGGCCGCACGTCATCATCCTCTGCGTCGTTGCGGAGGCCGAGCACCTTCAGCATGACTTCGGATGCAAGGGACGGCTCATCACGAGCGCGTGGTGTCTAATTATAAAGGTGCACGTGCTCATGAACACGAAAGGTCAAATCTCTGGTGGTACTGGTGTCGAATTCGCAGCCACTGTTGTGCTGCATCCTCGGCCTGAAAAGGATTGTCGCCGCTTCCGAACGCGAAGGCCCAAACCGAAGCGCTCAGGCCAAAGGCCAACGCTAACCTAAGCTTCGGAGGTTTCTGGCCCAGCATCGGACTTAGAGGTCCTGAAAGCTCAAGGCAGCTGCCCGAGATGTGCTCGATTGCGTCAACAGTCGTAGTGCTGTTAATGCTGTTGTTGGGCTGGGTTCCTGAACCAGTAGACGGATCGGCAAGGCTACCAAGTCCGACAATGGTGGCACCCTGAAAGAACGCATTTCTTCTACGCGGCAGGTTTCTTCACTGTCACCCTCTGTACCAGTCGCTCCAGCAAGAAGCCCGTGGCCTTAATTGCTGATTGTATGTACTTAACAGGGCGATGCCAAGCCACCTCAGCTGCGGCCCGATTCGGACCCGCCGCGGCCACCGGGCCATGGCTCACGGCTACATGGTTTAAGGTGTTAAGGGGGGCTGCTTTGGGCTGGTCCTTGCTATCACACACGGGGTTTCAAAACAAGGGCAACCGCCACGTCACGTAGACAGTGCTGGGTGATGTCGAGGTTGGCTGAGTCAAGGCTCCATGGGCAGGGCGCTGCAGGGAGCACAGAAGCCCCCAAGATCCCCCCAATGCAAACTCGATTGTCGAGGTCGAACTGTGAGACAAGCCCCCAGATTTAGACAACAAAATGAAGGAAAAACTGACACCACTTCAGAGTCTGATGGCCATTTTTTTTGGTTGGGGGTTTCGCGAGGTCTGCATGAAATCACGATCAGATGGCACGACGGCGTGACCAGGCCCTCAGCACTGAGGCTGCGACACCACCTTCTGATGCACCGCCGATGAGCTTCGGCGTGTGAATCTCCTTCACCATGCCGTTTGTTGGAACTGATCCCTACCATCATCTGAGCTCTTGGCTCCTCTACTGGTCCTCTACTGGTCATTTTTGGAACCCAGATGCTCCAAACACCCGCCAAATCTCGTGGACCAGAACCATAAAAGTGTCGGAAGGCTGTCGCTACTACCTCTACTGCCTCCGAGCTCTATTTCTCAAGCTGCAAGTGGTAGAGGGGCCCTATCTGGGAGGGTCTTGGCGGTACTCCAAGACTCAGGCCACTGGTTGGCCGACCAAGTGCCTGGAAATCTTTCTTCAGCAGGAACTCCCGGAAGAGCATGCACACACCAGACCTACCGGACAGACTGGGTGCATGCAGGGCCTCGCGAACCTGGTGAAGGGCTGGGGGAGTGATGCACTTCGACGCCTGATCTCAGCATCAAGCGCGGGAAATGTACTAAATCTACTTGCTACCAAAATGTGCCACTTGGTGACTGGTATCATCAGTACCATCTCTCAGGTCCACACTGCATTCGGAAGACAGCTTGATTTGCCACCTGAACGAGAAGCGCTACTTGCTACTCCTCTACTTTTTAGTCTTCTTGTGTGCAAAGTTTCTGCTTCCGAAGGCGTCATGGTTCTGGAAAATAGGCCCAACCCTCTTCAATGAACCCATCATGCACTCCAAGCTTGCCGTTCTCAAGTCGATGATCCGGTTGTCAAGGCGCACGTCCTGAGCATGAAGCTGCCATGAGCAAAGCAAAGCTGCGACTCGGGCAATATCACCCGTATCCACATCCAGCAGCTGTACATGGAAGTCGCTGAAAGTCTCGGGGGGTGCAGTCCTGCCCCACCGATGGTAGCCTTGCAAGCAGACAAAGCTGACAGACCGTAGTATCCCACGATGATTACTCAACACGTCGCCCGGGCGATGATCTGTCGCTGGCAGACAAGCAGGACCAGCCACTTGCTTGGCATTTGTACGGGTTGTAAATGACCCCTGCCATGATGAGAAGCCGACGAAGGATCTTTTTCGATCTCTGCCTGCCGACATGTTACTTCAACCGCCCTATGCAGTGACAAACTCAACAGCCCGTGCTTAGAAGGATCACAACACTTCAGCACGTAGTTTCCTGCTTGACGAAAAAAAACTGACAAGTTTGTTCCACAAAGAAAGGAAACACCGTTCAGTGGCCCGAGTAGCATCCCGCGAGTGGGGGCACCCCGTTGATACGCACCTCGCTCCGCGAGGCATCGGCCAGCTGCAATGGCAGGGCCTTCCGCCGTTCCCAGGCTCTGATCTACAAAGCAATGTCAGGCACCAACCCAATTCTGCAACCTTTTTCATTGACTGTCGTGTTTCCTTGCGACGTGCTTTCGCTCTTATCGGAAATGAGCGAGTCTTCTGTTCTTCTGATGTCACGCATGCCCGTCTTGAATGACAGTAGCCCATTCATCTCGGAACTCTCGAGCCTGAAAACCTGAACAATTTAGGTCCGACCAGTCCGAACAAACCGGTAAACTTGGAACTTGAACTTATGTGGAAACCGGATGGCATCCCCACCACCCATGCTCGCAAACTGCGACTGCAAGTCAACATTGCGAAGGGCAGGCCACGTTTTTCGAGCTTGGGATGTTAGGAAACATGTGGGAACTCGATGTGGTCATGTTGAAGATCAACACCGATCAACACTGCCCTAAGTGTGGCACGTCCACATTCTGTTGTCTTGCTAAGCACATAGAAAAATACCATAGAGCCGGGAGTACAACACGAGCTCACTCCCAGGTCTGAACGCGCTCCAAGTAAAGCCTGTAAATATCCGACCTCAGGCAGCAAATCACCGGTGATTGGTTCCTGGGGCTCCGGTCCTGGGACCGTCCAATACAAAAGATCTTCTCCACAGCCAGCTCCTGATTTTTTGCACATGTTAAGAGATGGTGAGCTTTCACTCTTGCTTGCTTGCTCGCTTGCTTGCGTGCCAAGGTGTAGGTGTTGGGTGTGGGAGCGGGTGGGTGGGCCAGGTGTATTTGCGGGCTGCGGGGCATAGGATGCGTAGGTTTCAGAGATTCCAAAACTTTAGAGTGACGTTCAGATAGTCAATCCAGGGAAGCGTTTGGGGTGCCTTATGGCCTCAGGTTAAGGGCTCGACATGGAGGCGTCCTGTTGTGAGCGGTAAGCTCACCTTCTCTGCTTTACCGGCTTTGGGATGTTTGAGGCTTTGACGTGATCTTTCCTCAAGCTGAGCGCACCACCACGTTCTGCACAGTACACGAAGCAATTGGCGCATCAGGGCAAGCTACCTTCCAAGCGTTGCAGGAGCAAGGTTGATGTTAGGCGGGTTCAAGGCATAAACATCTTGCTGAAAAGGGTGACGAATGCAAACCTCAGTCACCCCACAATCCTGGCTCTTGGGCTCTTGGGCTTTTGTCCAGCACGCAGGACAATCCAAAAGAGTCCCAACGTACCGTTCGGACCGTTCCTTTCGCATCCACTATGTAGAGTTCTAGTTTCCAGGCAAGGCAAAGAGTTCTGTCACGTGGACCTATCTTCGAGCAACACCCCTGCGGAAGACAGAGTACAGCTTCACTGATAAACCGACCTCAACAACAACTGCGTGCATTCCCGGTGAAAAGCCGTCTGGACTGCGGAGTCCTATTCACAGCGCAGGTCGAAGCCCTTAAGATAGAGCAAGCCCTGCGCACCATCTTTCCCTTAACTGTGTTTAAAACGACGAAGCCAGTTTTGGACCACATTCCGCCGCCCGAGCTATTCGCATTCGTAGATTCCGAACATGATGCAGGTGCAGAATGCAGAACATGCGCTTACCATCCGCCTTGCCGTGGATATCCACTACTGACTCATCTGGCAAGTTGCCGGCAAAGCCGGCCATCTCCTACACTCGGTGCCAAACTGTCGTAGACTTGTGCCACCCACGTTGTATGAGGACTATGAAATGAATCATCAGTCCTGGCCGAAAACCACTGCCTGCACCGTCGCCACATCCTGCCGGACTTGGCATACTCGGTCTCTGCGCACTCGCACTCGCGCTCACACAAGCCCAACGCCTGTCGCAGCGTCAGAAAGCAAAGCTTGTTGCCCTGCTTCCGGCTGTTGTGCACCTCGGTCACGTTAATCGGGGCTTTCGGCGCTCACACTGCTGGATACATGCTGTTTCCAAGCCTTCTGTGGCCGAGGACCCTGCACGGGCACGGATCCACACGAGCGAGTCCTTACGGTAATCAGACAGGCGCAATGCCAGCTCAACGCAAGATGCTCTTTGCTTCAAGGGTTCTTTCTTGAGCTGAGATACTCAGCCTAATACTATGGGCCTCACAGATCTCAGAAACTCAGCACGCTTCCATCGAACAACCACCTTAGAACGTACAACCAAGAGCTCCCTGTCATACCGAAACCCATCGACTGTGCAGGTGTCCTTCATTTCCGGCTTCAGTGATCCGACGTTGGTCCACTGCCGCCCTGTGTACTTTAGGGTTTTTGGGTGGAGGCTTTGGGCTATCCTCGTTGTCAAGCTTATGGACGCGGCACAGAACTTCTGCTGCGAGTGCTACATACGGGCCAGCTCCGTATCATTATGGAGAGCAGCATCGAGAAAAAATGCAGCATGAGCGAACTAAACAAAGCTGAGGCAGCATGGAGCTCCGATCTCAAGTGACTTCAGGAGTTCTCAGAGTTGAGGGCCGAATACATGTCCTAATGCCATGTGGAGTGTGGAGAGGAAGAAAGGCAGGAAGTGGCTGACATCGTAGACTTGCAGACGCGTAGGCTGTGAGTGGACCCTGCCGTGTACTGAGGCTTGGCCAACTCGATTGCGACCAGCATGGCTATCACCCAGCATGGCTACAAGGTCGTCAAGAATCCGGCCTGTTTTCTTCTGGCTCTGGATGAAGAGGTTCCCAAAGGAATGCTCCTATCGAAAGCACAGAGAGCAACCGACTACCGAAGACTTAACACGGCCCCTTACCCTGCCGGCATCACCAATGAAAAGCAGCAACTTTTTTTCTGCAAACCCAAACCCTGGCCTCCCAACCCTACAGTGACACACGCTCCCCTACATTCCCTACCATCCCCCCCCCCCCCCCCCCCCCCCCCCCCCCCAACCCCCCCTTTCCCTTCTTGTATGAGAACAGGGGGCTCGCGCCTCAAAATTCTCTGAAGTCAGGTCCGGGCCTGCGAACCTCAGAGGGCGCGAGAGCGGGATTCAAATCACTGTGGCATGTCAGGCTGCCGAGGGGCCGAGCTGAAGGCAGCTTTTCTGATGTGAGCCCGACACCAACCCTTTTGAGCCACAGCTAGACGATTCTCTGACCCTCTCCTGGATCTTCTAAGTCGCATGCTTCGCGTTCTGGGCCGCCAGTCGCTCCTGTCAGCACTGCTTCAAACTGTCGCCTGCCGGAGATTATGTGGGCCAAGGCCTTGCAGACTTGCCTTCGCAAGCACAGCTGACTACCTGCTCGATCCATTTCAAAAACGCTTCAAGGAAGCAGCCAACCTTGACTTTGCCCTAGGACCCTGGGAGTTTTTTCATCTCATGGGCTTGGCTCCTCCTCTTTCCGTTTCTTTTCGTCCTCCTTTGCCTGGCA